AATTATTACAGGGACCAATCCTCATCACCCGTACTCGTCGTCTGCGTCTGTGGACAGAGAATCGATCTCATCTGCGGATTATTTTCTAGGACACTCGTAGCGTCGTCGCACTACTGCAGATTACACCGGAGCCCTGCACTGGCCTGCCACCTTACCGTCACCTGGCCACGACCGTGATCCCTGTCAGCAAGCCGTTTGGCGAAGATGTGAAAGAGATGGAGCTTATGCGAACGAGATTGGAGGTTTACGATATTACACAAGTTCCACTTGGACTCGAATTCAGGTTTGAGCGGGGGACTCGAGACTATTTGCTTCAACAGCAGATTATCAGGACATGATGCGTTGAGATCGTAACGACCAAGCCCCGCGTTTACAACGAGCCGGCGAGTCCCGGAGGAGCCACGCCGTTTCCCACCAAAGGGAGGATCGGGGATCGGATGTGGGTTTAGAGAAACATGCCGGCCGTTATGATCCTCTGGCTTGTAACATCAGGTCAGGGACCTCGTGAAGGACGACCAGTCGTTGATGTTGTATTACTAGTTAAAAGCACGGATGGTTATCATTTCCAATCCTGAAAATGGCTTCAAGTTTCGTGGAGACTTCAGAATTTTGGGCCTTGAACCCCACGCCGCCCGCCCACCCTTTCTCCGTCATGCTGCCGAAAAGAAAATAAACAACCTTGAATTGTGGAATACACATGAGGCCAAAGTTGCAAGCCCTACTTCGTGGGTGCGGATACTACGTTAGGACCCGACTACATGTCCTGGCCCGTCCAATAAGCCCCAGTCGGGACATTGATTTCCATCATAGGAGTGGGAAATGCGGCCCTCGATCCTGACGATCATGATAACGGGCAATCGGCAAGCTGTGCACATCAGGCTCTACGCTACTTCGCACTGACGATTGTAGCATACATACTCGCTTCGTTGCCCAGACTAGTAAGCAAACTATGATGGCGCGACCACCGAAAAGCGTCGATCGCAGAAGCCATTGCTCATTCTATAACGAGTGGGATTGAACAGGTCGCCCAAACTAAAGATCGCAATGGCAGAGGTTGTTGAAGGCAGGCTCTTCACATGAATCAAACTTTGATGGACCGACTCATCCCATCATGCAGGAATCCTTTACGTACTTCGTAGCCGATCACCAATAACACACATCCCATTTGCTGGTCCTAGGTTTCTGCAGCTTCCTAAATTCAGTTTAGGTATAATGCCCTTCCGGCGGTTCGCCTTAAAAAGTGACAAGAACGAGCCGCTCAGTGTTGTCATTTACCATTCCTTTGCCGATGTCGGTAGTCCTCTATCAATCAAGTCGCGCATCAGTGCATCCTGACATCCCGTGTGGTTGCAGTCATACACCCTTCGCATAGGCATTCTTCACTGAACCCGATTTTCATCTTCTCTCCCTCCCCGCCTGCTCACTTTCTGCTTCTAGAACCGGCGGCGCGGGCGTCGAGGAGATCGGAGCGCAACATTATCGTGGGGGTGCTGTGTTTTGGATATGTGTGCGTTTGGAAAACGCTTCCCGTCATTCGTCTCGCTCTTGCTGCCGATGGGTTGTGATAACTGGTCTTTCGGTAATACCTGCTAGACTCGTCGTGACCGGCCGGAGCAAAACTCCGGAGAGATCAAAAGGATGCACACCACTACATAACGGCTTCCGGCCTAGTTAATGGTGTTGCATGAGATTTTGCCTACTCGGGCAGTTGGGAAACACTGAAGGAATCTGACTCTCGGTAAGCTCCAGACCTGTCAAAGTAAGTCGCCCAATGGCTTCAACTGTCTCACGGTCTTTGGATTTCAGCACTTCCTTCTCGCCGCGAACTGGCGTGCCGTCTGCCATCCGTTCGGCCGCATATAGCTTTCACTACTAAACCAACGTGGCGGCCTAGGGCTAGTCATGGAGCATTAGTGCGACCGTTGATGTCTGGTCGACGATCCTTCTCTCTCAATTCACAGCATCCAGTGTTTCCCAATTTCTGAGAATTGACAGGTAAACAACCTGCAGGTGTCCATTTCTGGCACTCCTAGTAGCAAGGCGTTTGTCGCCGTTTCGGTCAGGGTCGAAGACATCAGATGCATGTCTCGCGATGGCGCAGACATTGCATGATAGACATCTAGAAGACGACCGGCCCTCCCCGCCGCAGGGAATTGTGGCCAGTCGTATATCACAAGTGTGGAAGGCCGTTGGACGGCGGCGCCCGTTTGGACAACTCTGGCACGCTGCGGGGTTCCAGCGTTTCGCCTCGTCTAGCCTTATCGTTTTCTTTGTTTCCCACCGCTTGATTTGATGACACTTTGAAGACACACTGCGAGGCTATATTAGCTTCGATGCGATCCCCCCAAGTAGTTTACTAGCCTTATCTCGATCGTTCTGCCCTCCTGAGACAGACGGGTGAACCACGTGTGTGTACCAAGGTTGAATGTTCAAGGTCGATGTATGTGTAAATGGGTCGAAGGTTCGATGACATTGGAGTCAGAAAGGGTAGGTTGTGAGTAACATTGGGGTCGCTTTGCCAAAGCTTAAGTTAGATAGCCCTCGCCCATTGCACTCTCCGGATCTCACCGTCTCGCTCGTGCTACCATCAGAGATCAGGGGTCCAAATGTGCCTCGTACGTTCTAGATTTGCCGTCCCCGGGGTCCAATTGGATCCCCCAATTGGTAGTTCATGATACATCACATGCTTTCGGGGAACTGATTCTGGACTTGACGTCACCAGGTAACTTGCGGTCTGCCTGATCCTACCAAAGGGGAAGACTAACTCTACTGTGTACAAGTAAAGCCAGCTGGGGCTTGCATCTGCCTTTGCTAGGACCAATGTTTGCAGATCGCCATTTCTTCCTATGGCTAGCATGGGAGTACGAGAGTCTTAGATGAGCGTTTATACCTTCAAGCGTAGGGGGCGGAGATGGAGCGTGTCTCCTTTACCTTACCCTCCTCCCGCCTCCCGGTGATCGTCCGTCCGGTTATCTAGTGTAGTTTAGGTGTAAATAAGGTGATGAATGCCAGGCCCCTCCTATCGGTTGCCATTCATTCTCTGTCTCTCTCTCCCACTCTCAACCATCCAACCCACTTCGAGCGTGTCCTCCCCTCCATCTAGAAACCCTCAATTGTTTCCTCCGCTCTTTAGGCGAGTCTATTGCTGTCATTGCGAATCAAACTGAGCAATTGGGAAGGTGCCTCCTAGTTCAAGTTGTTGCATATCAAGCGAACCGAGAAACTTGGGTTCCATTCTATCGTCACCAGATCGCTCCCAATCCCGAATATTTCCGACAGCAAGCAAGGCTGATAGAAGCCAGGGGAGTAGACACAAACTTGTCGTGGAAATCGAACTCACAAACCATCATCCAGAGTAGCTTTGCAGCCAATAGATTTGCAGCCAATAGATTTGCAGTCAACCTGACCAGATAGGTTTTCCCAGCAGCATCAATGGATCTTGGGCTTGCTTAGTTGGCGAAGGAGGGACTGGATAGCATATACGACTTCTCGATGAAGCAAAAGCCAAGTCCACTGGACCCTGAACTTTCGAACTTTCGAACTCTCGGGCTATTTCCCCCCGTCGATCTCCTTAATGAGGAAATTTGTGGAGGTATTTTTCCCCGGCGGCTGAGGTAGTATGGAAGGGAACGGGTTCCTGGGCCTCGATTAGCAACATCCGTCGTCGTCAAGCCGTCGTGTAGTGTCGATGAGACTGATATGAGGGTTGGAGAGGCTTCGATTGGATAGGAAATTTCGATCCCCCTTTGCAGGTTGTCACGTCGAAAACGGCAACTGGGGCGACCCGCCACGAGTCCCCGGATGGCAAATCCCTAATTTTGTGATTACTATTCAAAAATCAGGCTGGGGAGGGGAGGCTATTTTCAGTGACCCTGACTTCATCTTGCAGATCCGAGTCAGAAGGGGCAATATCGCTGCAAAAAACAGCAAGTGGCACCATATTTACGTATGACAACCCACCCTGCCGAGATCCTTCGTATCTGGAGTCGGCGACTACCCGTGCCTGTCACGCCTTTCGGCCACCCATAAGCGAGATCGATCGCTACAAAGTACGAAGTAGTCGCCGACCGGAACCAGGTGAAGAGTCAAATGGCGCCTAATTGTAAAACTTCTAAATGGCCCGGAAAGAGTCAAACAAATCGACGGTCAATAAATACGGGGTAGGAAAGGAAGTTTTCTCGATCAACCTAATATCGGGAGGAATGTCCCCGGAATCAGCCCATAAAAATAATAGCAAAATAATACATAGTTTCCCCAATTGCCACGCACGCTATTTGCCAGGAGCTCCAAGGCCAAAAAAAAAATCCGTTCTCTCCCGACTAGGGGGTTTTGCTTATTCAGTTGGGCATTTCGCATGCGGAACAGCGGGCTCCTCCGCTTGGGTGCGCCGAAGTCCGTGTAGGGCAGAGTCTCCGGCTCCGAGGAGATCTTTGGTCCGAAGACACTGGTCCGTGCATCTGGAATGCTCTGCTTAGTCATGCGAACAGCCAATCATAAATCTTCATTGAAAGCGGATTTTCTTCGGGATTGGGGCAAATTTTTGGTCATTCGGACTTTTGCCTCACGGGTAGGACCGGAGCCCACTTTCCCCCAGCTCTGGTTGGGTCATGGTTGGGGTGCTTGTCGGTTCTCGGGGGGCTCCAGTTCCAGATGAGCTCATTGTATAAAACGACCTTAAAACGAGGTTTCCTGCCCCTTGGGTGAAAGAGAAGACTTGCATTTGCTTTCTTCAAACATTTTCAATTCTCTTCGATATTGCTGGAAAAGCATCATCTGACGTCTCTCTTTTCCCATCAGGACCGGGTTCGGCAAATTGAAGCTTAATAAGGCTACCCTAATTAAATCGAAAGGTTTTCGATTCTCCCCACCTTAATCGTTCGAGGGAAGTCATCTTCTTTTTTCCACCACCAACACCTCTCCCAACTTAAAAACCCTACCACTCCGTCCTCACCTCCCTCGCAAACCCTAAGAATCCCGACAATCACACACAAACCGCAACCATGAAGGTCATCTCCAAAGAAGAGGAGGCTGCCCACTCCAAGCAAGTCCTCACGGGCGGTGCCATCGGTGGCATCATCGGTCTCGGTGTCGGTGGTGTAGCTCTGGCCTTCGCCAACCGTCGCTACGCCTCCGTCCGAAACCTGACCGTCCCCTTCAAGGCCTTCCTCGTCAGCTCGTCGTGTACCTTCGGTCTCATCGTCAACGCTGAGCGCTACAGTATCGCCTTCCAGAAGTCCCATGACCCCATGCATGGCTACAAGACCGACGCCGCGCGCGAGATCGAGGCCGCCCTGGCCAACCGCACCATCTCTGAGAAGTTCATGGACTGGGGCCGCGACAACCGATATACCATCGTCTTCAGCTCTTGGTTGGCGTCCATGGGTTTGGCCTTTGCCATAGTCAACCGCTCCAAGGCTCTGACGGCCGCCCAGAAGATTGTGCAGGCTCGTGTGTACGCTCAGGGTCTCACTGTTGCTGTCCTTGTCGTTACTGCTATCTTCGAGATGAGCGATGCGAAGTCTGGCAGCGGCAGGTGGCGCACTGTCTTGGTTGCCGACCCTAACGATCCCGAGCACAAGAAGATGATTGAGAAGAAGATCCACAAGGAGGAGTACGAGGGCCAGGATCTCTGGAAAGGTAAGCATTTAACCTACCGAACTCTTGATGATTCTTTGCTATTCAGGACTGCATGCTAACTACTTCATGTGTTTCTCTCTAGATATGGTTGCCGCCGAAGAGCGAAGGATAGCCGAGCGAAAGAAGCAGCAGGAGGTTGAGGCCGCTGGTAAGCCTAAGGCCGAGACTCTCTAAATGCCTCTCCCGTGTCTCTCGAAACATCCTACACATACCTGCGAATGAAGATTCAGTCGGACGATCGACCTTGGCACTAGAATAGTGTCTTAGGTGTTGTCCGTTCTAGAGCTCATTCCAAAACTGCCCGTCTCTTATGTTTTACAGAGGGAACCAAAAAAGCATTATTTTCGGCGTTATTAGAGTGTTTACTACAACTGATGGGAGTGGAGGGATTTGGTGCGATGTTCAGACTCGTTTATTCTGTTTTACGAGTCCGACTTCTTTTTGGCCCGAGGGCCAGGGAGCTTAATCCCGCAATGTATATTTCTTGTTCCTGATAAAGCTTGTGCAGCTTACCCTTTGAAGAAGTTTCTCACCTCTCAAATTCAATGGAATTAATTGTTCCCTTCGTGGCTCCCGTTCGCGTGCCAAAGAAGACTAATTGATGCTCGCTCGGTAGGAAGACGCCGCTTGCGATAACGTTATAAAATTCGCTGGGATATATTCGTTGGTATATATCCAATAATTGATATGTCGTATACGCTACATTCATCCACATGCAATGTTCCAAAATCGTAACCCAAGATCGCCTTGGCACTCCCAACAAGAAGAAAACAGAAACAAAAGAAACTCCTAGCCTCAACTCTTCCGCCTCTCTGCCCCATCCTTTACCCCACATCCATTAGTTTTCCTAAACCTCAATCGTAAAGTGGCTAATCTGCGAGTAATAAGCGTGGACAGCGAGCTCCAACAACCACACATCGCCAAACACCTCGCTGCCATCGAACCCGCCAATGACAAACAGCCGACTATCATACAACGCGGTGCCATGATACCCCCTCCCACTCGGGGGCAAGCCATATATCTTTCGCTTGTCCCAGGTCATGGTGACGAGGTTGAGTAGGAGGACCTCGTTAGAGTACTCGTTACCGTCATGGCCGCCTATGACGAAGAGGTATGAGCCGACGATAGTGGCCGTGTGGGAGAGGCGACGATAGGTGACGGGGATGTTGACGGCCTTCCAGAAGTGCTTGTCGACGTCGTAGACCCACACATCGTTGAAGCACTCGCCGCCATCCGACCCGCCAAAGATGATGAGTTTGCCCCCGACCATGTTGGCGGTGTGGTAACCTCGCGCCTTGGGGCGCAGGTCTCGTGCACTGCTGCCGCTGCCGCTAGGGGGTTTATCGGGGCTAGATATCAGTTTCCACGACATCTTGGTCGTGTCGCTGACATCGAGGCGCCAGATGTCGTTGAGGGCACGCACACCGTCCCCGCCGCCGAAAACGTAAATACCGTTCTTGTACAGGCAGGCGGTGTGGGCGCGTCGCTTCGACGGGATCTTATCGCCTACTATACGTGGCTTGCTCCACTTGAAGTTCACCGTATCTAGCACGTACACGTCGTTGTAGTATGCCGGGCCATCTCCACCTCCGAAGACCACGAGCTTCTTCCCGACGGCCGTGCAGGTCATGGCGCGGAGGGGAACGGGTATCTCGCCGACCACGAAGGGACGGGACCAGTGGAAGGCGTCGGCGTCAAACACGTAGATGTCCTTGAAGCAGGCCTTCGAATCGCAGCCACCAAATACGTAGATGTTCGAACCGATGAGGGTCGTAGTGTGAGCTCGTAGCGACGGATGGGCTATGCCGGAAACGGGGGCCCTGGACCAGTACATGCCCGAAGCCGGCGCAGGGGGCACATCGGGGGCGGTCTTGGGGTCCACGAGCGGCGGGAAAGGGGTATAATCGTTGCGCTGAGGTCGTGGAGCGGCACGCGACGAGGGCTGCGGTGGTGGCGGGGCAGGACCAGCCCTCCCGGCTATCGCAGAGGTCACGCGCTGCGCGGACGGCTTCCTCGCCTCTTTTACGACGGGCTTGCCATCGTCTGCACTATCCGTGGGATTGCTACCGGCAACATGTGGCGACTGTCTCGCTACAGCGGGGTTCGCGGAGACTGGTGTCTTTGCGGAGGAGGCGGTGGTAGAGGCGGCGGGTGTAGTAGTAGCCGCAGCGGATTGGGAACGCTGTCTGATGGATAATTCGGAAGGTTTCCTGCGCTGATCACGACTCTTGGAGGCTAGGTGGCCCGGCGTGTGGCTGCGAGGGATGGGAGGGGCCTGGTCGGAGGGGTCTTCGGTGTCGTCTGAGTCGTCTGGATCATGTTTCGGGGCGGTGGGGGAGGGTGCGACTATCTTTTGTGCGCGGACGACGCGGGAGCTTGGGTGAGGGGATCGCGGAGGCAACTCATTGGGGTACTTGGCAGAGTCACCCATCGTGGTGTCGGGCGGCGACCATCGCCAGATTGTTTTGGAGTGGAAGCGTAAGCTGGCTGGGCTGGTCGGCGGGGGATCGTCAGGCCCTTGTTGTTGTTAATGTTGATTGACAGGGACGACCCCGCAGGAGACAAGTGGAACGGAGGGACTGTAATTACGGGTCCTCGATCGACGGGGCGGACGGAGAAGTTGGGAGGAAGCCACCGAGGTAGATATTGGTCTCTATTGAAATCGAAGAACCCACGACGGGAAGATTCGAGGGGTAGATGGACTCGGGATGTGGGAGGCACGAGTTTTGTTTCAGCAGCAGACCTGGATCGTTCTTGTGATCGCAAGTCACAGCGGGTAGAGACTGATTTGCATTAGTGTAGAAACCCCCACGGCTCTGTGGTGGTGGACAGCACAGGGATTGAGAGCACTGAGGTTTGGACAACTGTCGAGCCTGGGCAGTGGTAAAGAGCAGGGATTAGCCTTTAATTACAGTACCATAAATCTACCAGCACCATCACCCCGAAATAAAGGTAGATTATCAACCCTAGATGCCTTCAGTTGAGAGCTCAAAGTCAGTTAATATCAATTAATATTTACCAATTTACCTACAAGTATATCCCCTAACCTAGCCCCTAATGAAATTTCAAGAATAAGATACCTCTTTCAAGTCAAGATCTTAGAACCAGGGATGAAGTCCATTTCGCAGCTGGTGGCAGATATTCACAACTGGCAGAACCCCGCCATTATTGGCTGCGGTTCATGTATGGATTCAACTTCAAGATCAAAGATTCTTGGGAAGGCACGCTCAACATCCAACTATGAGAGCTGGAGCTGGGAATCATGAGTCAAATATCCTAATGTTCTTTCTTGCCAACCTTCAGTGACTTACTGATTGAACATGGTCCTTCGGCATTGAGATTACCAACTCCCGGAAGAAACTCAGTGGAGCAATATCCGGCCTCTCTCTGGAATATAAAATTCAAACCTCACAGGGTTTAAATTTTCCTCTCTCTCAAGCTTAGGGCCAAGGACCAACTGCCAACTTCCCCCAAGTCTTCGCTCACCCAACCATTTCTTTCTCTCATCCTCCCTCATACCAAATACTTCCACTCTCATTACACACATCATAGAAGTCATCATGTCTGACCAAGCTCATCCTATGGTCATCAATGACCATCCCCTCCCAGCTGAAGCCTCAGCCAACGGCGAAACGATTGATAGCGGACTGACTTCTGCTGATACCACCATGGCTACCTCTGACGAACGTCCTTCAAAGCGCCTTAAGTTGGGCTCTGGAGATGTTTCGTCTCATGGAATGACCGTGGAAAATGGACAGCCTAATGCCACCATTGCCGTTGACTCTGCTTCGGAACCGATCGTTGCCGCTCAAGTCGAACCTTCCCAAGACCACCAGTCGACACCAGTGAGAGAGGGGGCTCCTTCCACTATTGAAAATGGTGCGAGCGTCCAATCCCGAAGGTCCGGAGTTGCCCCCATCAAAGCGCAGTATGTTGCCCTGGATGTCCCATCTCCTTGTACTGGGATTCTGAAACTTACTTCTTTCTAGGTACCTTGTTAAGAATCAGGAAACGAGCTCAGGTGGCTCCCAGGCTGCAAATGGTGGTGACGGTGACGCAGAGAAGGCCGGCGAAGACGGAGCGGAGAATGGCAACACTGCGCAAACTTCTGATAACGCACCCTCCCCCGCACCCGTGCCCACTCATGGCAAGCGCGGAAAGAACAAGAAGGAGCGTGGTCAAAACATCGGACGCTCGTATGGCCGCTTCGAAGAGGCCGTCCAGCTTTGTGCCAGCAGGGCTATGACGCCCGAGTTTTCTCCCGGAGAGTGTAGGTTTGCAGACAAGTGCAAGCTTTGCCACAACCTTCGCGAGTATTTGGAGGGCCGACCCAAGGATACCAGTCCTGAGGGCAATATCTGCCCACTGTATGAGATCTTTGGTCGATGCCCAACGGGCTGGAAATGCCGCTTCGTCAAACATCATATGACCACCTACAAGTACGAGGACGGCCGCGAAGAACTCGTCTTAACTCAGAAGAAGGTCGCCTCCACAGCGGACGGCGAGTCAGCCACAACCTCGGAGGATGAGCCCATTCTCGAGACTTACGCCCCTCCCCCTTCTAGCACGAAGAATATCGTTGGAAAGGACGCCAAGATTGAGTTGTCCCGTAGGCGTGTTGATTTTCAGAAAGCGGATGAGTTTGGAAAGTGGCTCGACCACGAAGCTAAAATTAATGATACATTCCACAACCGTTCGCGACACCAGGTTGACAGGAACTTGGGAGAACTGAGGGCGCAGTTCGTTGAGCCGCCGTTCCTACCATCTGAGAAGAGACGCCTTTATTTCGGTCCCGAGACACCTGCTCTAGCCCCATTGACAACCCAGGGAAATCTTCCATTCCGACGCCTCTGCATTGATCTAGGTTGCGAACTCACTTATTCAGAGATGGCTATGTCTGTTCCCTTGCTCCAAGGTAACAAGGCCGATTGGGCTTTACTGAAAGCCCACGACTCCGAGCTTGCTCCTCCAAATGTGAGCCCCACGGCAAAGCCAATAGTCGAGGGTTATGACAATTCCAAGGATCTCAGGTTCGGAGCGCAGATCTCTGGCCATTCTCACCGAATGGTGACCCGCGTCGCCGACATTCTCAACCGTTACTGTCCTAGCCTACGCTTAATCGATCTCAACTGCGGCTGCCCTATTGACATGGTTTACAAATCAGGCGCCGGTGCTGGAATCCTCGACTCCAAGGGCAAGCTGGAGAGGATGGTTCGGGGTATGAATGCTGTCTCGGGAGAGATTCCCATCACAATCAAGATGAGGACCGGAATTCAGTCCAACCGTCCCATCGCCACGACCGTCATCGGCCAGCTGGCATTTGGCGCCCGCGAGCACCGAGCCCGACTTGGAGCCCCTGGCTGTGCGGCCATTACACTTCACGGACGCAGCCGAGAGCAGAGATACACCAAGAAGGCGGATTGGTCCTACATTGCCGAGTGTGCTACGCTGGTCAAGTCGTACAACGTCCAGCTCGGCCTCAACACGGATACCTCCGCAGAGCCCGATGCCCGCACCCTTCCGAACTCCAAGAACGGAAAAATGTACTTTATCGGAAACGGAGACTGCTACTCTCACGTCGATTACTACAACAGCATCGAGAAGTCCGGCGTCGACACCGTCATGATTGGCCGTGGTGCGCTGATCAAGCCCTGGATCTTTGAGGAGATCAAGGCAGGCCAGCATCTCGACAAGTCCAGCACCGAGCGTCTCGAGTATATCAAGAAGTACGTTGACTATGGTCTTGAGGCTTGGGGTTCTGACGACATTGGAGTGGGATATACGCGTCGCTTCCTACTGGAGTGGTTGAGCTTTGCTCATCGATACGTGCCCATTGGGATCCTTGAGCATCTTCCCCCGGATATGAACGATCGGCCGGCTGCCTACGTTGGAAGGGATGACTTTGAGACGAAGCTTGCTAGTAGGAACTACAAGGACTGGATTAAGATTTCGTAAGTTTTCATTCGTTCTTTGGTCCCGACTTTTTTTTTCCCCCATTTTTGCTCTTTTTCCTAACCATGTCCACAGGGAACAATTCCTCGGCAAGACGCCTCCGAACTTCAGGTTCGAGCCGAAGCACAAGTCCAATGCGTACGAGTCCGTCGAAGGCTAGGCGATAGCGTTATGAAGTCAAGGCAAGTGGAATAGGGAACACAACAAATGCCGTCTGCCGCAATTTGACCTTTTTGGAAGTGTATCTCCCGCACCGGCCTGCTTGACGTAGCCAGAGTTGACTGTATCATGATGGAGAGAAATAAAAAAAAAAAATAGAAGCAAGACCCTCACGGAAAAGGGTGAAACCATCATATCCTTCGCAGTCCTGACTTGCTGTGTTCCATGCCGATCCCTCTTATTTGTTGGGATTTACGTCGTTGATAGTTCATAGTTGGTAGTTGACCAAACAGATCTGCAAGTACGAATGTCTTCTGTTAGAGTTTCTTTTTGATTGCGTGTGTACGACTCCGAGGGTCCTTTCATTTCTCGTTTTTTTCACTCGCACTAGGTACCCACCGCCGTAGACGCGAGACACACATACAAAACGGCGCACACGACACAAAAGCTTCAAGCACAATGCCGTCATAACCATCCTACCACGGAGACAAAAAGAAGACAAAAAAAACGTACTTCGTACCCGAAGATCCACAAGGAGGCCTCGTCATTACGCAGAATCGGAGCTATTAATGGAAGTGAAACATGCCGTAGCTGCGTCCTTCATGTCTTGGAGAACCGAGAATGAGTCTACAGCTCAGCTGGTCTAGTAGATACGTCACGAGGAGATTGGGCTGTCGCCGTAGCCGAGCCGTTTGTGTTTTCTTAACTACACTTGTTTATTCCTGAGTTGAAAAAAGTTGATTGATGCGAGGTTGATGGAATGGGATGCACAGTGGGTGCCTTAGCTAAATCTTCTCCAAAGAGCAAAACGAGACGAACAGGATAGAAAAGAAAGAGAAAAAAAGAGGAAGGAAACCGTGAACCGAGAACGGGAGGCGTTTCGTAAGGAAGATTCCCAGTCAAAGCAGCGAGCCGAAAAAGGAAACAAGACCAAGAGGAGAACGACCAAAACAAGAAGCAGTTCCCCCAGAAAAACAGAACCACAATGTGTGAATAATGTTACAAAGTGCCATTGTCTCTTCTCTCCACTCGCTTTTTCTCACAGCTAGTTGAGTTGAGCCTTTCGTTCCACCTCTAATGCACCAACGTTTTCCCCGACGAAGCCCCTTTCCCCCACGTATAATACCGGGTCATTAAGAGAAGAAAAGAAAAGGAAAAGAGGACAAGAAAATGCCCACATGAACCAACGATACAGTATGTATTCCAACTCGGGAAATCGTAAGGAAGCGCCATGATTAACTACATATCTGAACTCTCCACACGAAAGGAGGCGTCATGCATGACTCGGTCCCCGGCTGGCAGTTGAGGAGGGTGAGGAGGGAGGAAAAGGCACTGAGGCCGGCGCGCCGCCAGCGCCGCCGCTGCTGCTATTATGTCTGTCTCACATCTTTCTGGTTGTGCAGACCAAGATCCCGATACGTCTTTCCCCATTTTGGACCAACCTCTGCGTATCGTGTTTTATTATGCGGAAAAATGAAGCGACGGCGTGTCGACCGGCTGACGTACTGCGAGACTTGCTTCTTCGGCTTCCTCCTCGGGGCGGGTAGGAAATTTCGGGTAATCGGCGCCGAGTTGGGGAGGTATTCGTCTTTTATTTTATAAGTGAGGGCGGGCATCTGAGTCATATCGCGCAGATCAAGGAGAAGCGTAACGTCATCATACACTCTGAGGCTGAACACTCGCGGGCTAAGAAAAACAAAATCACAAGTTGTTAGTGGAGGGGTTGATAGCAAAAGTAATTGGCACTAGGATAGAACATACCGGACTGTTGAGCATAGTCTGCCTCTTGTTTCTACTCTTTTTGATGTGGCTCTTCAGCGCGCTAGAGTCGAGTGGCTTAAGCAGCTCGAAGCTGCATAGTAGCTCTGATGACACTGACATCACAGCTCCCCAGTTGTCAAATTCGCCACAGTACTAAGTGAGAGGGGTAAGTACGTTAGGAGCAATTCTTCACAAAGCAGGCAGGCGCATAGCAACCAGTAGCGAAGGGGGGTCAGTAGGAACACATACGTTGGGAGCACTGAAGACGGTAACAAGTACCCGGTCATTGAAAAATTCATATCCATCCTCAACCACCATGTGCGCGCGGCAGATCAAATCAAAGTCGTGATCGGCGAGGAACTGCATAATGACTCTCTTTCCGAAACAATAACTGACGCCTCTTTCATTGGCTTCCCAGTCTTGCTCCATTTCAGCAGGATCAGACCATAGCAGATCATTCAACAATCCATATTCGGGAACATCGGTAGGGCGGGCTATGTTGCGGATGTCATCCATGTGGGACAGCGCAGGCGACAGACCACCATGCACGCAAAAGATCTTGCTTGCGACGATAGCGGCGATGGGCAGGGTGTTGAAGCAATCGACGAAAGTCTTCCAGATCTTGACATTGCATCGGCGCTTGCATTCGTCGTAGAAGCCGTACACTCGAGTAACGTTGGCGCATTCGTGGTTCCCTCGCAGGAGAAAAAAGTTCTCGGGGTACTTGAGCTTGTAGCAGAGTAGGAGGAGAATGGTCTCCAGGGACTGCTTGCCACGATCGACGTAGTCGCCGAGGAAGAGGTAGTTGGAGGAGGGGGGGAAGCCGCACATTTCGAAGAGGCGGATGAGGTCGGTGTACTGGCCATGGACGTCGCCAACGATTTTCACGGGGGCGTCTAGCTCAAGCAGCGCAGGCTGGGACAAGAAAACCTCGCGAGCCCTTTGGCAGATGGCGATTATCTCCGCGTTCTTTAGACAGACGCTCTTGGTAACCTTTCCAGTATACCCGGCATCCAAAAGACGCTTGATAAAATCGTCCAAATCAATGTCCTTGATTTCACTCATGGACACGTTGGTGTTGTTCTCATCTGGCTTCGAAGCGCCTTCCTTAACCACGTTCACCTGAGCCTCGCGCTTGACGAGGATCGGCTTACCAGGTTGGTGGAGAGAGCTATGGAGACCAGATTTGGCCTCGGCCAACGGCTGGTCGGACACATTACCGACTTCGCCTGATGCCCTGGCGCTATCGACATCCTTGTGTCCAGCGCTAATGGAGCTGCCCACCACGGGAGAAGGCGGCCGATGCTCTTCCTCCTCTTCCTCCTCATGAGTCGGCGCATCTGGAGAGGCGAGATCGGCGTCAGTTGGCGATGTTGTAGAGGTCGTAGCCTCGTACCGGCTATGTCGGGAGGTTGCTGACCGGCCACTCTTGCCGGACTTAACCGATGCCGCATCGCCCCTGTCATTCACGGCGTCCCCATTAGAGAGCAGCGTAGAAGACCTAGGGCTATCGGTCTTGGAGGATCCGGGGATCCTAGAACGTAGAGAACTTTTGAGCGATCGGGTGGATTCCTTCGTCTCCGACCTGCTCATCGGGGGGCCAGCCGAGCCATTAGCAGAGGCGTAACCCTTGGAACCGGATCCACCATCTTTGGAGCTGGCGTTTCCCATCGCGTGGCGTTAGATTTTTTTTGCCAGTGTTAGATTTTATCGTGCGGGCATTCGCCGACGAGTTCGAGTGAGAATTGGTCCGGGAGCTTTTCTATTCGGTTTCGCCGTCTCGTGTTTTGCCACCGGTCGGTTGGCAGACAGCTGAGAGGCTCCAGGTTATATAAAAGAAGGAAGGGTATCGAGCGGAAAGAAGTGAGGTATTGGTATTCGGGCAGTTTCGCAAGAGTCTTCCTAGATCGTAATTGCTATTGATCGAAAGCCTTGTCAAGGGGGTCGAAGACGGTAGGTGAGGATACAAAGGGAGGAACAAGAGGAAGATAAGCCGGTCGTTGTCGCCGTTTTGAAGAATGTGACTAAGACCGTCACACTAAAAAGTGTTGGATTTCTGCGGAGCGACTGTGGGAAGGAGCGATGGTCAGTTTTGAGGGGGAAGAAGAAAAAGAAAGAAACGAGAAGAATAAGAAAAAATAATAAATGGAAAACAATGACGGGTGGCACTCGATGAATCGCCAGTGGTTAAAATCAATCACAGTCGACTTTCGGAAATAGGGCAATGACGAAAGGGAGAGGGCGAGCGAGAGGGAGCCGGAGGTGAATGAGGATTGGGTAGGTACCTCGATAGGCAGTTTGGCTAGTCTTTTAAGTTGGGAGCTCCTGTCGACAAACTGCAGCAACACAAGAAACAAGGACCAGACGGCACCCCACGGTAGCACGGCACCGCAAAGAACAGCACAGCGCAGCACAGTAGGGGGGGAGGCTGGAATTTACGGCGACTTGTTGTCGGCTTTTAGCGGGTTGGGTCTACTACGTATACGAAGTTCGAAGTCGTCAACAGTGGCGAGGAGGGGCGGTTCGCGGAGTTAACACTCGAGTCGGTGGCGGGCCGGAAGGATCGGGGAAAGCAAGCGTCCTTCAGGCAGTACACATCGATATCAGCGATGGACGTGGTCATTCTCTCTGTTATTTGCAACTTGCGCCTTACCCCGCGAGCTTCCTCAGAGGAGCGATAATTGGAAATATGGGGCGCAAATGGTTAGAGACGCAGAAGGGAGGCGTTTATGGGCGATAACAGTGCGATTGCGATACGATGCGATACGATGCGATAGGGGAGGGTAATGGCGAGTGGCTTGATGGTGGGAAAAGAGCACGACGATTAGTTCGGTTTGCTGGCGATGAAGCTTGGAAGAAGGGGGAATGGTGGCTGATTAAATGCAGTTCGACGACGTCAAGGGCGGTCAAGCTAGTCGCTGTCGAGTATCGCAAGGATTAACAAAGTTTGACGACAGCACGGTTGCCCGAGTCTCGGATTGGTGGAGCACGGGGCCCAGGAGTAGCTGGAGTGTACGGAGTAGTGTGGTGTAGTGTAAAAGGAGGACGTGCTGGTGTGACTCTCGTGTTGTATGAAGTTACGAGGTGAGAGACGAGGACAAAGATCAAACAAAAGTCAAGGTGAGCGGACAATGGAGAGAGCACAGGCTCGGGACAGGAGTGGGAGCGGGGCATAATATGATGATAATAATTGCAGGGAAGGAGAGAGAAAAAAAAAAAAAATCAAATCGGACAGGGAAGGCGCAAAGTTCCCAAGACGTCACAATTCACAAACGGAAGGATCTGATGCTGGATGCCAAGTGAAGCGAGTTTTCTTAAACAAGCTCTTGGGATAACTCGATGCGAGTCCCTTGGCCTTTCCAAGTATTACTTACACACATAACTCAACGTTACCGTGTTACTATGCCTTGGTATCAACCACAACTTATTACAATTGTCCTTTCTTTTGCCTACAAGGTACTTCGTACAATGCGATATGCAAGTACGTCCACTCCCTCCAAAGTGCCCATGTCCAATGGTCTCCTTTGCTGACCGAGAAGGAAAGAAAACGGAAGGAAAGCGAAAAAAAGTAGCAGGCCTACGAAGTAAAGAGCGACCAGTCACAGCTCTTGGATGCTCGAGTCTACTTGTACATACTTCGTACATGCGCATGCATGCGTGAGATTTCACTAGTTTCCATGTCCCTGTACATGTGGGCAGGCCAAAAAAGCACGATGGAACTACTCCGTACGTTCTTTTGCAGTCCAGCGAGACGAAACGGAAAAATCTCTGCAGTCTCTGCGGCGGCAGTGGAGGATTAGTACGTGGGTACCTGAAGGCTGGGCGGTCCAGAACGGAATCGATCGATTGATTAATGTCACATCAATCAATAGTATCGTTGGTCAGGCACTGCTACTTGAAGGTCACCGCTACACACTGCCCCAGGCCAGCCATTGATGGCGAGCTGGGAAGCCAGCGACAGTGAGCAATGGTGTACACTGGGATGTACTCAACGCTTTGCACTGCGCCGAGAATACCAAGGAATAGAACACACGGCGCTTGTACCAATCTGAGAAAACACTACATAAACTTACATGCGTTGTACACACAATAGTGTGGACGCTGCGAGCACCGCAGATAATGGAGGGCCTCAAAAACTGCCGCCCAGGCTTGGCCAATGAAACTCAGCACCAGCAGCATCAGTTCCAACATGGACAGATCTCGATCCAATTTCCTGACCCCTCCAAAGCAACTTTCTTCTCCCTCCATTCTCCAACAAGTCTGCTAACTAGCACACAATAGCTCAAGCTTCTCGGGGGCTGAAATCCGACCCGTCGAATCTCCTAGTTTGTCTCTAAGGTGGGGGGCACTAACAGCCAAAACAGAAAAGGGAGAAAAAAAAGCCATTGCTGGGGTTGAGATGGCAATTTGATCGCCATCTGGGCCCTGATCGAGAACCAAGATGAACAGGGCTATTCTTAGACCCTGCGTCTCGGGACCCTCGAGTGGGATGAATCGGGACTCCATCAGAGTGGGAAAAGAAAAAAAAAAATCATCACTGTCGATTCCAGCTTCGACAATGTAACCAGTGGACGTGCTTCGCCGTACCATTGGATGGCTGTCATGACCCGGACCCATTGGGCTCGGTTGGAGCTACCCCGGAAGGAAAGTGTTTGCAGGCTGGAAAGGCACATTCTGAGCATCGCAGTTCACCTGGCGATATGCAGGCAGCTACCGGGCAGGATGAACTTCTCTCCCGCTGAAAAATTTCCAACTTTTCCCAACACACACTACGAAGTACATCAAAGTGGACGCAGCATAGTGGGGGTGCACGGAGGGCTTCGAGCGCTGAGGCCATTGATAAAACCTTTCCGAGTCAATACCCGTCGTGCTCTCCTGTCGCGAAGGACTTCAACATTGTATACCCCAATCGTGAATGATAGACGAAGGAAATAATTTAAACAAATCCAAATCAGGAAACTTTACTACGAAGTATGAAGACAAAGTGACTCCATACAGATATCCCGCCCATGCAACATCTCCTTTTCCAATGCGACTCTCTCTCCAAAAGGTACGGAGTACCTCGTAGTTGGATGAAGCTTTCAAATTTCAATGTTGCTTCGCAGGCTCCGGCCATTCTCGCACACGCAGGGAGAAAACAATTTGAACCTGGCGGTGAACCCCACCCCCGGCGCCAATAAGCAACGTGACTGGGTGCGGCGTCCTCCAAGCGGAATTCTCAGACACTCAGACAAATTGATGAGTCGCTGAGTTTCGCTTGTGAGCTGAGAGGGGGAAAGCCATCAATGGATCGCGTCGAAGCCAAGAGATGGCGCTATCTGCACAATTTTGACTTCTGTGGGCAGCCGGGGCAAGACGGCAAGACTTAACGGGAGTGAACCGCTCGGGCACGCGTCGCCGTTTCAAAAGCCAGTTTGGGACGTCTCCGACCTCGCGACTTTCTTGTGTCTATTACTCTTACGGTTGCACATTCCCAGGACATCCTTTCCACCAAGCCGCTCGCGGAATGGGATCAATCCCATTGATCGCCTCAAAACGGCCTCCGGAGCGGCTCCAGAATGACTGGTCACACTTTCCATCCCGGAGCGCGGACTTCGGTACCCTTGTGCATGTGTCCACTACTTTTGTAGTCTCGTGTGTAGCGTCCTCGCCTATCCTAGTCCTCCCTCGCTATTCCGACGGCCAAGGCGGTGATGCCACACAATAAACCCTAACAAATGCGTCCGTTCTCTACGTCAAGGTCACGCGCCCCCGATCTCCCTCATCGTGATTCGTTTGCCGGCGTCGATCCATGGTTCCGGGGCAAGGGGAATGTTTCCACCACGATGCCCTTCCGCTGTTGGGAATTTCGGAGAGACGCCGTTGTCGGGTGAGTCGGGGGAAGGGCCACCATCATCGAGTGACTCGTGCCCTACATATTGCACGGGACTACGAAGTAGGAAAAACTCCAATGCCCCAGCAAAAACTCGCCGTTTCTCAGCTACACTACGATAAGAAATATACGAGGTCTAGGGGAAAGTGGGAAAGAAACGAAAACCCAATGCATTTCAACGGGTCCAGAGAGATTAATGATGATTTTCCAAGTCTCATCAATGTGTACTTTGTAGTACTTATGTTGATAGGTCCACGTAAGCTTTGTAGAGCGCGGCAGATCTTAAGACCAGACCACCGGGATAGCGAAGATGTGTGGACTGTTCATGGTCGTGTGATATGATGACCCAGATCTCGGGGTTTTCTAGAAGGCGTCCATGCTGCTGGCACCCTGTTCAATTCTCGTCAAATGAGTGGCCGTTCTTGCCCAGCGCTCTGGTTTTGCTCGGGTTGCATGAGCCCTATCCGAGGTGTGATGTGCAAGACGAGAAAGCATCAAGAAATTTCCTATCTAAGGGGGCGTAAGAAAGTAATTTCGATTCATGTTTAGATGATATGAGTCTCATTCGCGACTCGCCCTTTGATGCAAACACTTGGAGCGGCAATGCCGAAGTCGATGCTGTTCGATTTGAGCCAACGTCCAGCTTAGTGGAGCACATCTTGTGACTTGGAGGCAGATCAATGGTGGCTGTCTCGTGGCTGTGCAGTGACGAGATACATTCCCGACGTATCAATCTACCTCATGTTCCAATCGACCTCGTCTTGCCCGACCTGCTCGGCTCCCATGTTGTAGCCTCTTGCTCATCAGGGGAACTCTCCGCAGAGAATGTCACTATTTCTTGGAGCCTCTCTTCCCTTCTGGCCACTAAAGTAGAAAGCACTGTTATTGTTTCTACCATGCCTGACAACATGCCCAACCGGCCTACAAGAAGATATCAGGGATATTATCATTCAACACTTTTGCATCAGAAAGCGTTCACGGTTGACTTGCAAGAGGTGATGGAGAATCTATATTGGCTATGCATCTATATTTAAATAGGTACGAAGAAGGCTTCGCCTAATATTTCAATAACAAGGTGATAAATCCGACTCTGGTCAGCCTCAAGGATAGCAACTCGCATGCGTCCACTCCACCACTTCTCAACGCTGTCTAGCAAACAACACGACTAAATCCCACTACCAATGTGTGCAGTTGCTCAGCTCCCGTCTCCTGAGGCTATTATTTGGCCGACGTCGACGCCGACGTCGACGTCGCTTTCTCAGCGTGTCGGCAAAGGAATGCCAAGATACGTGTCTTGTACTCGCTGGTGCACTCATCTTTCAAGGCCATCTGTCCGTCTTCGCCAACCGCCAGGGCTGAGAGCGGATCCATCTTGCCAATGGTGAGCAAGAGGTGGCACATAAACCAATCACCGACCCGCACGGCTACCCGCAGAGGCGACTGCTCCTCGTCCCCAGGATAGCCAGCCCCATCGCCGCCGCCTTGCGAGAGCAATACCCTGGCGCATTCATACCGATCATCCCAGGGTGAAGGGGTCTTTATCAACTGCGTAAGGGGAGTGTCTCCGAGTTTGTCCATTTGATGCACCCCTTCCGGGAAACGGGGAACTAAAAGGCGGAACACGGCTGGGTTATGCGTCTTCGCCGCTAGATGCAGAACGTTTTCTCCACGCGCGTTGATGTGTCGGAGATGTTCTTCGATTCCCTCCTCTGCTAACAGGAATTCCACCACATCGGTGTGGTTTCCCAAGACAGCCTCTCCAATTGATTGGTGCACTGATTTTCCAATGGGTAGAAGTTGTCGTTCACGTTGATCCCCGCGCAGCAATTCAGTCCTCAGCTCCACATCAAGTCGAGCATTGCTCATCAACTCGCGGATCATGGGCATGCAGCCGAGGTTGGAAGCTAAACATAGGAGCTCATTCCCCCATTTCTCTTCAACCAATGTATCCGTCACACGATGGACAAGGAGGAATGCTGGTTCCCAGTTGCACTGATATGGACCGCTATAAAACCATCGCCTCATGATGAGGCGGAAAAAGTCAAGCCGTCGAAACTGATTCCCCGTACCCTCTAAGAGTATCTTCAGTCTCTCCAAATCGCCCCAATGGAGGATTTGATCAGCGGCGCGCATAGCGGATTCTGGAAGGAACTCGCCCTTGTGGAGGTCTGAGTTCTTGACCATATAGCGTAGCATAGCTTGTGAGCCGTAGAGCGAGGTGATGCTCAGTGGATCGTATAGAGTGCTATCGAATGGAAACCTGGGCTGGATTGTACAGTCTGGGCGGCAATTTTGCTTGATCCAGTTATGAAGCCGGGTCGAGTCGGCCTGGCAAAGGCGCTCTACGTCTACCGCCAAACCTGGAAGACGATTTTCCGTCGAGATGGCACCGAAGTGCTCGATCCAATGGCATGACGCATAAGCAAAAAATTCACCGAATCCACGATCTGCTGGATCATAGCGGGTCATGTCTTTTTCCCAGGTTTCCCAAGTACAATGCCGGTCGTATTCGACCGGCTCTCCGGCATCATCGAACAAGTCGGTTTCTTGAGGTAGCTCTTGGATTGCAGCCTGCTCTTCAGAAAATAAATCGGTTTTGTTAACCTCCTCGAGCAGAAGATACCTGATACAGATGCCCATGATAAACGCCTCCAGATTCTCGATTCGTCGATCAAGAAGTGGCTGTCTTGCTGCATCCCGGGGTATTAGTGCTCTTGGATGCCGGCTCAAATCAAATTCATTTATGACGAACTCCTTCACCGACGGGTGCACGAGCTGAACTTGGCGCCTCTTTAGGTCGCTGAAATCGACGCGGGAAACGAACGGATAGATAAGTGCCATCACTCTTTCGTGGCCGACCCACTTAGCAAGGCTTGCCACAGTAGTAACTTCCTGTGGCGCCTCGCCAACAGCAACGGCCCAGGCAAGTTCTAGGATGCTAAGGGGTCGGCGGGCGAAGGCGAGAATCTTCAATGCCATCTTCACCATCTTCCTGTTTTCGGGATCATCTGAGGTGCACTGTGAAAGTAAAGCGACGTAGAACTTCGAGAGACCCCACGGCAGCAGCGTTAGTTCTTCCAACAGGGATCGCATGGAACCTAGCGTCCTAACTGAAGTGGCTTGAATGTCCTCAACTACCATTCTTATCCAGATTCCGCTTCCTTGTGCCATCCAAGAAAGCCACTCTATGACAAATGTTTGGACCTCACTGGACAGATGGGACAGCTCTGTCTCAACTATCTTCTCGGCGATAAGCCGATCTCGCTTAGCGTCAGGACTCAGTTCGATCCTGGCCGTTTCGCCCAGTCGCTGGAGAATGTCTTCCTTGGGGCGGGTTGACAGAATAGTTCTGAGCTTCGGAGTCTTCTGGGACAAGGTTTCCAGCAACCCGAGAAGATCGTTTCGAGATACTTCGTCGCACTGATCCAGGCCATCGATAACGATGTAAAGTCGGCGATCGAGTGTTCCCAGCGCGAGTTGGAAAAACTCCTTCAGCTTTGTCGTACTATACTCTGGGTCGAGATGTCCGGAATCTTCAGCCTGCTTATACCATTCGACGAACGCTTCTCTCAGACCCGGGAGCTGTTCTAGGAGCGACAGGATCAAGATCCAGTAAATTTTGGCGAGCCGGCGAGACTTGCCGGCTCGGAAATAGTAATAGCATATAACGGGTCGAGGCCGCCAATGCTCACGTCTTCGACTCAGCTCGTCTATAAGATATGCCATTGCAAATGTCTTCCCAACACCCACGTCCCCGACTATCACCAACTGTTGGGAATCTAGGGCTTGATACCAGTTTATGAAATTAACATCTCTCAGCAAGAATTCACAAGCCTGGTCAGTCCTAAGGTCGTCCAGCAATTCGTGGTAGATATATTGATGATGGCTCATGCGGTCACGCCCAATCCGCGCGTCGACTAGCCCAAGCAACGATTAGCATGTATGCAACTGATTCATAGATATAGGGTGATAACGTACTCCGTCTTTCATAGATCCTGGCCATTGGATCCCCAAACCCCTCCATTGTAACCTGGTAGACAAGTTTCCGAAGGATGTCACTGCGTCTCAAGAAATCTTCGGAAAAGCTGATGGCAGCCTGTGCAGAAAAGTTAGAGCTTCCGCAGTCGCCGCCATTTCAAAAATGAGCATACCGTTTCACACTTCGGACCACACCAAAAACCGTTGATGTAGTTGAATTCAAGACTTGTCTGTGGAGTCAACAAATCTGGGACCAACCCGGGTCTGTCGAGCGGTATTTGTACGGAGCCAAGAGAGCCTACATCTCCCATCAAGCTAGGTTTCAAGGCCGCCTTCTTCTCAATCTTCTCGGGCTCTTTGAATAGCTGCGCGACATTCTTGCCGGTGGGAATGGAGCGTCTATACCTCGCCGGAGGCTCTGAACCACTTGTCGGGATGTTGCACCCTGAAGAATCAATGATGGTGCCGTCACTACAAAGAAGATAGATGGGTATTGGAACTCTACCCAAGATCATTGCTATCGAAATTGGGATTGGGTCGAGCTGGGCCTCATTGTCCTTAGTGGTGGTGTTAGATTCCTCTGGGCTATCACTCTTTGCCCACCTGCTTACTTGAACGATATCTGGCTTTACAGCATTTGAACGTAAAGCGTACAAGTCTCTTTTTTTGTTTCATACAGGGCTCGGAAAGACAGCTCGAGACACAATGTCTTAATGTCAAAGACGGTCCTTACTACCTAGGAACGGCCGAGTGCGTCTTTTGTCCAAAAGAAAACCGCTGCCTAGTAGTACCTCGAGGGAAGGATTCTTAACAAGCTTTGTTCGGCGTTGAATTGGATGAACCCAGTCACCTCGGCTCCCATCATATTGCATTGAAATGCCATTCCATATCTGCAAGATCAATTGAAGTTTCCTTTCTCTAGGCATTCAAGCCAACCAGTGGGTTCTGTTTGACGAGGCCCGGATGCGGAACATTTTCAACTAGGAAGGGTTTAGTCTTTTAGTCTTCAACGGACACTTCTAAAGCGGTTCTCATGTACTTCTAGTTCAGCTACTATCAATGGTGCTGACGTAGAAAGCTCCAACTGGCTGCATGATATCAAGGGATAGATATATTGTACGTGTCGAAAGCATTGGTTGCAGGGTGCGTGTCAATGGACTCGCCTCGTTAGGTATTGATCAAATCGAGGTATCAATGAGATTTGTTACCCCGCACGAAGATGCATCAATAAACCTCAAGACCTCAAGAGTCCTCTATCTACCTTCTGGAGACCAAAGGAAGACGGGGAGATCATCACGAGTTGAATCATAGATTTCATAGAGAATTCCATCAGTTGTCGGTGTCTTGACGACGCTCCACCTCGCTACTTCGTAAACCCTGCACGGAGTAGTGTTCACTAGTGAATGCAACGTGGTTTGCCAAGGTAATTCAACTGCTTATCAAACACTAGGCTCTGGTCTACGCTAATGTCCCGCTTCGGAGCAGTAGCGCGGCATCAATCCAGAACCGCATGCGCCTCAGTGCCTTACCGAACGACTTAGAGAGTACACAGTACCACGTCCATCACAGAAGCACGGAAGGTCTTAGTGTATTATAAGTCACTGAGTGGCATATGGAAATTATCATGGCTTCTGAAGATCCGGGAATACAGACCTGGAACTTCCCATCGGTTGTACCAGGCTCGAGATCCGAGAGGGGATTTTCGAAGCGGGAGACCTTGGCGTCGACCACGATCGGCTTGTCCAGCCTGCCGCGCGAGGTTCGCAAAAGGATTTACAGGCAGGTGCTCACTCTGGCACAACCACTGCTTCTTTTTCAAGACGGAGGTTCTCGGGTCGAGGCCTTTGTGCCAGGAAAACCGCGCCAATGGCTCGCACTGCTGCATGCAAACCGGCAAATAAACAAGGATGCTAGTGCGGTGTTATACAGCTCGAATCGCTTTATTCTCGTAGATACGACGCGGAAACAAGTCGATCTCCTGCGGTCCTTTCTCGACGGGATCGGGCCTGCGAACGCAGGGTCCTTGTCCCATCTATGCATCAACTTTCCGGTCATAGAGGGTCAACCGGGGAAATTTAAGCTCAGAGACGACAGCTTATGGAGCTTTAAGCTTCTTCAGGCAAAGTGCACCAACTTAACGATACTAGAAACCTTCATCCATAACCAAAACTCTAGCGACCTGACAAAGACGGACCAGGATGATCCGGGGTTCGTTCGAGAGGCGTTGTCGCAAATTGGCGCGCAGCTAAACGCCATCCGATCGCTGAGCAAGCTCATCGTCAGAGTTTACGGTGGAACCCTATCGCCTTCGGTAATGGCGTCAATGCAAGTGCTGAATTGGGTAGTCGTTCGCGGTGATGCAAAACCACCAGAAAGCGCGGGCAGCACCAAGACGTGATCCAGAAAGCCTATATCTTTGGTCAAGGTGAGCAGTCCGACCAAATCCAGAGTGTTGTCCCACGATTTCTGATATCAGATCCCGCCCAGAAGCAATCAATGTACTTGACCCCCGGACGAGGTACAATTATTGTCGAGAATTTTTAATGGATATAGACGGCGTGAGGAAATCGGCCTATACCTTCCAGGAGAGTTAGGAACCTTGTAGAAAACCCCCCCCCCAAAAAAAAAAAAAAAAAAAAAAAAAAAAAAGTTGGTTCGGTAGAAGAGAGGGCACTAATAGTAGCTTGCGCGCGAGAGGAAGACTGCTGGGGTCGATTAAACAACTTGGAGGGTAGGACGCTTCGGCTGCGCAAACGGCGTCGTTAAAAGAACGGCACGAGATACTAGCCCTGCTCGGCACATAACTATCAAGCATTGCTTCGCATGGTATTCCTCGAGGACTAAGAATCGATCCCAAGATGAAGGTGCATCGTGCGTTGGTTCCAGAAGCCGATCTCAGCCCCTCTCTGTGTTAAAAATAGATCATGAGTCGTTTAGTTTTGACTTGATCTCAGGAGTACTTCTTGCGACATATAAAATTGAGTAGGTGACTCTGTGCCTCAGCAGATGCACGAGGAGCTGCTGCGCCATGATCTTGACGGCCGGGTAAGAAGCCCCCATCATTTGTGGCTTCTTTCCTCCCACACGCCTGGCGATTGGGGCTGGCGGCTTACCCGGTCGGGTATACACTGCGCCGAAGTAAACTAGAACCAGTGTACAAATCAACTGCTAATCACCGACGCGTGGATAAGCCTCCCCAGATGACGACAGACCTGGGTTCCGTCCCCCCACCTCCGATTCTGCGACCCTGCATTGGTTGCTGCGCAAGACTTTGACCAGTGCTTCGTATGCGATCTTAAGATTTTATTATGTGCTGAACGTTGGGGCACAGAGGGGAACAACCTACCAGGGTTGCTCCGTTCAAAGCTGAAAGGAAAGAGATTACGAATATCATGGGATCCATATTCTTTGGACTGGTTTTGAAATGGCATTTCGGCCCACATCTTGATTTTGAGTTTCTATTTGATACGAGGGTCGGGGCGAAAGGCGTGGCAAAGATGTCGAGGAGGATTACGAAGTCTAGGGTTCAGTTCTCTCCGTCGAAAGTCGTGACACTCAAACAATTGAGTCTAACAAGCTGCGACTAGGACCTCCAGGGACGAACCCTGGAAAGCCATCATCATGAATCACATTTTGGCCTCGCAAGGAGACATGCTTAATAATTTCCTTGTACAAGGGTAAATTGCCTCGAAAAGGTGAAAAATTAAGGCTCTTTTGCAGCATAAGCACTGCGACGAATTTGGTGCTATCTGGCGCCATTGCCGGGGTCTTGAGCTTTTTTCCTTCCATTTCGGGCGTTGGTCGTTGGTCTCAGCCGCTGTGAGCCAAGATCGGAGGATCTCCTCGTCGCAGCCAAATGGGTATCGACAGCCCAACCCCGTTAAAGTGCCCACTTGGAAGTTCTTGGAAGAAATTAATGGATTTCAAACTCGTCGATCGGTCCTTCCTTGGAACCTGAAATTTGGCCAAGGAAGACCAACGCCAAAGCCAAAGCCAGACTTTGTCGGTAGGATGTTGGCTCCATCGCGGACTAGGACACAGCACAGCCCTATCATAGGAAATGCGCTAATATTTGGTAGGACCGAAGGGGTGGGCTGCAGTGTGGAATCGTGAACGACGTACGCGGACACCGTGGCACCCCTGTCTCAAACCAACCAAGCATGTGCAGACGATGCTCAGAGGTCTCAAGCTTTGGGGGGCTGAGCAACCAGATGCTCGAACAAACAAACAGGCAGCCGACGTCAGCCCCAATGGGCCGCTAGTGTTTCCCCCCTTCTTCGCCTCTTCTTGGCAGTGGCATAGTCCGCCTGTGGTATTGGTACAAGAATCTTCTTAGTAATTGTGTAAGTTGTATTGTACCTGTACCCGTCAGTCGGGTTGTGTGCCTGTTTTTGGTTAAATGGTTCATTGATGGATGTCTCTGGGTTTGTTGGCCAGCCTCTTTCGATCGGGGAGAAATACTCGCATATGCAGAATACATAACACCTGCTGGCCTGCCAACATTCCGTCTCCTTTGACCTCATCCATTATCTCAATCTCCATTCCATCCGTCCTTCGTTTTTGGACCTGTATTTACTCTTGGTCCCACCCTAGGCCGATAAAATATTGACGGTTTCCATTATCAACACAATCTCATTGCGTCATCCTCTCCTACAAACTTCCCCCCCGCTTTCCCTTGTTGATAATTCACGCTCCCCTCCCTCCTCCTCGAGTCGTCCTCCGAGCTCTTCAGAATTTCAACACCTAAACCAAGCGTCCCTCATCGCCCGAATACCAGCGAAACCAAAAATCGAAACCGATAGTCGAAATGGCGAACGTCGGTCGCTTCTTTTGCGTGGCTCTGCCATTCATCCTCACCCTCATCAGTTTGATCCTGCTTCTCATCGCAGGTCTCTCTGGCGTTACGAACAAGTCGCTCTACATGTTCCAGGTCGACGTCAGCGAGCTACAAATTAGTCCCGATTCCATCAAGACCCTGATCAACGGCCGCGACATCGTTGCCCGAGACATCGTCGACGACGTCACCGACTTCGTGACCGGCAACACTGGAAACTCGGGCGGCAGCGGCAGCAACATCACCGCTGGCGACCTCGGTCTCCCGGATCACTACAACATCGGCCTCTGGGGCTTCTGCACCACCGACGACAACGGCGCCGATCGCAAGTGCACCAAGCCCAAGTACAACTGGGCCGCCAGCACTCTCAACACCACCATCATCGACAAGTTCAACTCGTACGCCGGCGGCGCCATCGAGATCCCCGACAAGGTTAGCAGCGCCATCGACGCCTTCGTCACCGTCTCGCGCTGGACCCAGATCGTCTTCATTGCCGCTCTTGCCGCCCTTGCCGTCCAGATCTTCGTCGGTCTTTTCGCCACCTGCACGCGCATTGCTTCTTGCATCACCTTCCTCGTTGCCGGTGTCTCTTCCGTAGCTGTTCTCGCCGCCGCCAGCTTGTCGACCGCAACCGCCGTCATCATTGTTGGTGCCATCAAGGGTACCGCTACTATCTATGGCGCTGATGCTTCGTTCAACGGCACCTACCTCGGCCTCGTCTGGGCTTCTGCTGCCTTCGCCCTCGGTGCTGGATTCTTCTGGCTCTTCACCATCTGCTGCTGCGCTCCCGACCACACTAGCCGCCGCCGAACCAAGCGCGGTGTTGATAGCGAGAAGGCCGTCCCCACTGGTGCCTACCAACCCCTTCAGGATCCTCATGACTACTCGAGGAACAGCTACTACAACCAGCAGGCCTACGCCACTCCCGCTTTCCCCAACAACGCACAGCGGTCTGACATGGCTTATGAGCCCTACTCTCACCGATAAATGCGGAACATATTAGGGGGAAAGGGTTTGTTTATTGTGTTGTATGACGGTATTTCTAAGGATGCTGGCAAGGGATAATGGGTATTGGGATCATGAAAGTCCCATAATTTTCTTTTGTTCTTTTCTTGTTCCTCTGATGATGTGGTCTACTCCTTTTTTTTTGGCATTTTTTGGGGCGTTACGGGTAAACAAGATATCTTCCATTCAATTCTGTCACGACGGTATGAAGCAAATATAGTCTGTATTTGACGAGTTCAGTCGACGAATTCCCTTGTACTGGGTGGTCACAAAACTATGGCTGTCTGTATACGAGACTTTGGTGAGAAGCATTCGAAGTTCTCGAGAATTAGTAGATACCTGATGGCAGGAAATTTATTTGACAATATATTGTCTGTGCAACCGGGCATATGCCGTTTCTGTGATGAAATTAAGGTTTGGGGAAACAATATTTTATGGTCTTGGATTTGGATATAAATTTATTGTCTATCACGCTCGATGTCGTGGTCGTGATTCCAAATGTGTAACCCGGATCATGGCGTGTGACTCGCATTTTTTCCTGAATTTTTAGTGTGTCGAGAAAATTTGTACTGCATACGTTTTCGCGCAAACTGATAGCTCAAGTTCTTGGAACTGGAGGCGTCTCCAATTAGTATAAACCTCGTCCCAGTGACAGTTCAGAAAAGCCTTGCCACATCTAGCGACTTGACCGAAAACGTGCGGTTGGAATCCACATACAATACAATACAAGCCCGTACTGTGTGTCTCCAGGGCAATGGCTCCCGAAGCAGTAAGTCCGCTGCATCCTCATCCTGGAGCGTCTTCCTTCCCGTAGCACATTATGAATTGGAGCGAAGTGATGCTGACTGACTGGCGCTGGATGGAAGCCATGTCGAGATGTGGTGCTTACGCCCATCACTGCCCTAGGGTTTCTCACTCTTGACCCCTCCCCCGCCTATGCCCGGGGGACGTATCTCCTTGTTGGCGAGGATACGCAGCTGAAGATTTATGACGTGGATCGCTGGAGGCTATGTGGTCAGCTTATGGTGTTTGCTGAGCAGTCCATTCACGGAATTCATGTCTCATCAGGAAGCGTTCTCATCTGGGGATCTCGCTCTGTGACAGTTTGTAGTGTGGAGACAATCGCGGCCGCCCTCGGAGCGGCACAAGCCACGAATCGCGAGCTTGCCCAAGCTGAGGCTCCGGATTGGATCTACGATGGCAGGATATCACCTGTTGACCCCAATTCCGGCGTCCTCGTCACGGCGCACAACGAAGTCGTCCCGATATCTTGGGTTGATACACCGAGCCAGGGCGGCCCTACTATTTCTTTCGGTGAAGCAGTGTCACCTTCTCGCCCGATCCTGTACTCTGCCCACTTGAAGTGGCTATCGCCTGGCTGCATCCTCGTGGCGGGTGGGACGGTCTTTGGAGAGATTCTCGTGTGGACTTGTCGAAGCGATGATGCTGGGAGGCGGACGTGTGAGGTTCTGCACGTTCTTTCGGGGCATGAGGGGTCCATCTTCGGCGTACACATATCGGATGAAATTCAGCTTGCTGACGGCGGGCCCTTGCGATTACTGGCGAGTTGTAGTGATGACCGCACGATTCGGGTGTGGGATGTCAGCGATGCTTCGAGTTCGGCCGGAGAGGCATCAGGTGCTTCGACGACGGATCTCCTTCATGAGGCACGTGAGACCGGGTTTGGATCTGCCGGTATAGACGAAGGGAAAGGTGTCAAGGCGCCAATTACCATGGCCATGGGGCATATCTCGAGGATATGGCATGTCGAGTTCCCGCCACTCACGACGGAGAAGCTGCCTACGACCGTGCTTCCGCTTTATTCATTTGGGGAAGACTCGACGTCGCAGAGATGGGAGTTAGACCTAACCCATTTTCAGCGTGGAGCCGGAGGAGAAACGGGTCGGCTTATTAACAAGGATATCTTCTCTAACCATGATGGGAAGCATATTTGGGCAGCAGCCTTGATGCTGAATGACGACCAGTCTCATCTTATTGCCACTGGAGGTGCAGATGGCAAAGTAGCTCTGATAAAGGAGAACCGGGCAAGTTCACAGGCGGATAACAAGGAAGGAGAGCAAGAAGGGCCGGCGTCTCTAAGCACAGTTTCCCATGAGACGCTACCGCTGCTAGAACCTGTGCAAGTCGAGAAGGTGCAAAAAGGGCGGAATCGTCACGACTTCCTACACCGCTATGCATTTATCACAGAGGATACCTTACTTACAGCAACCAAGTTTGGAAAGCTCCTACTAGGATTGTTTAGCAGCGGCGGCGATATTAGCTGGTCAGAAGTGTCGATCACGGAAGACGAGACCCGAGACGACATCAAGGCATGTTCGGCGATCACATCTGCAGGCCCTGGGGTGGCCATCGTGGGGACGACAACGAAGAACCTATATCTCTACTCCGATGGCAGGATTTCCAAACTAGTTTCCGTCCCCGGAAAAGTCTTGAACTTGATATGCCTGGGGCAAACCGAGGCATCGATCACCTTCCTGCTTACGATGTACGACAACCATGATGTCAAGATATTCACGGCAGACTTGGCTAGTAGACTGGTAACTTCGGATATTTGTCTCGATGGGGTAGACGAGAGATTCGTTCTCACATCAGCAGGGCGGTTCCACGGCTACCTAATCATAGGATCCCGGAACGGCTTCATGGAGGGTTTCACAGCACAAGACGACCAATACGTGCCGACTATCCGGATAGACCCAAGGTCAGATGATGCCATCACTTCCATAATTCCTCTCCCGGGGCAAGCAAATGCGGAGAAGATTTCGTTCCTCACGACAAATCGCGACGGGAAATACCGAATATATGAACTAGATATTACTGACGGGAACGCACCGCGGGCCTACCTTCGACACGAGACCTCGCCGCCTTTCGGCCCCCAGATCGAGGACGCCTGGTTCTGCAAAGACGGTGACGGGCCAGCTGACCTGATCCTCTCAGGCTTTCGAAGCAAAAACTTTGTCGTGTGGAACGAGACGAAGCGCGAGTCCATAGCGGGTGTCGACTGCGGTGGAGCGCATAGGACCTTTGCGCACACTAAGTCTCCCGTGGCCGGACACCTGCGGTTTGCTTTTACGAAAGCCTCCAAAGTGTACATCCACTCACAAGAGCAGACAAATTGTTCTACTCTCAAATCAGGAACCCATGGTCGAGAAATCCGAGCCATCGCCGCACGGGAACCTTCACCTCCAACAGGAGTAAGTTACTTCGCAACCGGATCCGAAGACACGTCCATCCGCATTTGGGAGCGGGCGAGTTCCTCTGGGATTGGGAGTCGCCTACGCTGCGTGGCCTCTATGAAGATCCACACGACGGGCATCCAGTGCCTCAAGTGGTGCGGCCAAGACTATCTCCTCAGCAGCGGAGGAAACGAAGACTTCTTCGTGTGGCGCGTGAGCAAACTCGATGCCGATTTCGCGGGCCTCGCGGTCTTTTGCGAGGCGGCGCTGCCGGATAAGACGCCGGACGCGGACCTCAGGATAACCGATTTTGATGTCACTGCAGAGGGTGGTGATGGCTGCCTGTTGATTACTATGGCTTTTTCCAACTCGACGTTCAAGACGTATGGGTATAGGTCTCCTGCGCAAGGGAGCAGCAAAGCGCAGGGAACGTTCGAGCTGCTTGCGGTGGGGGAGTATACGGGAGCATGCTTGACGCAGGTTCGCCAGCTAGGTTTGGGAGAGAGTGGACCGGCGGCCTGTGTTCTCACTGCTTCTACGGATGGGTATATCGCGCTCTGGAGATTGGAGAATAAGGGTTCTACTGTGTCTTACACCTTCACCAGCGCGACAAGGATACATCAGAGCAGCATCAAGGGCCTTGACCTGCGATTGCTCTTGGATTCTAATAAACCGCCGCGGTATCTCGTCACGACCGCTGGCGATGACAATGCCGTAGCCGCCACTTTGGTCTCCCTTGATGCGGATAACGGCAAGCTGACGGTTTCGGGGGCAACAATTGTAAAGTCCGCACACGCGGCCGCGATAAATGGTGTGGTTTCTCTTGGCGATGGGCGTGTTGCGACGGTTAGTAATGACCAGCGCTTGAAGCTGTGGCGGGTGAGAGAAGGAGGCATGGGGAGCCTGACGATTGTACTGGAGGAGAACTTGTATAGCGGTGTAGCTGATGCGGGCTCGGTCGAATTCCTTGGGCGGTTTGGGGAGGTGATAGTCGGAGGGGTTGGGATGGAGGTTTGGAATGTGATTTGAGTAGAGAGGAGAGATGTAGGTAGACCTTGTACACTGAAGAAAGCTCTGGATTCCAAGCAGATGAACCAAGTCATGTGCATTTATCCTGACTCTCCCGGTGCATAATATTCTAAATAGTAATTCTAAAAAAAAAAAAAAAAGACGGTTCACTTTCAACCCTGATTCCCATCCAAAAAAAGATGCAAAGAGAGTTATTATTGCTGAGAGCAAAAGGAGAAAACTTGGAATGGGGGTCAAAAAGAGGGAAATCTGATCGTGGCAGGGATCGAACCTGCGATCCTGTGCGATCTTGCTGTAAAGCACATGCCTTAACCACTGGGCCACACGACCGTTGAACAGCTGGCTCCCTATTGGGGTATACACAGCTTTTGTGAGGTCCCATGCACGTGGTACATCCCACAGGTACCTCCCACTCCCCATCATCCATCAGGCGAGCAAAGCTTCAAGTTCTGTTCCTGAATTGGAAAACTCCACTTCATTGTTACCTTCAGCCATCACCATTGCCCTCAATTGAACCACCATGAATAGTCTCAGACTAGGCCTCCCAAGATTAAAGGCCTCGGCCTCGGTCCTGCGACCATTGGCTCGGTAAGTCGCTCCACCGCCCAAATTTCAACACCCTGCGCCTGTTCGTGATGGAGCCTTTTGCTAACCAGGACCTCACTCAAGAAGCCAGCCACTTCCTCGCCTGACGTCTTCCCTCCCCAACATCTACGCCGCCTCCCACCTCCCCGCCCACCGCTCTCTCAGCACAACACCAACCTACCTCAAAAAGAAAGACAAAGGCTCCCCCAAATCCTCCTCTAAATCTGCCCCCGCAGCGTCCTCCTCCTCTTCCCCCGACGAAGCAGGCCACAACCACCCGTCCCCGAACCCCGACGACCCCCACAACTTCGCCGACATAACCTCCCGCTTCACCAAACTCTCCGAACGCTACAAATCCGACCTCAAACAATTCCGCCAAGGCGGCAAATCCAACCCGGACGTCATCGGCGCCCTCCCCGTAGCTACCAAGGGCGGCGAGACCTTCCCCCTCCGCGAGCTGGCGCAGGTGGTATCCCGCGGCAGATCGATCTCTCTCCTCGTCAATGACAAGAGCTTCGTGAAACCCGTCATGAGCGCCGTTCAGGCCTCGGAGCTGTTCAACCAGCAGCCGCAGAGGGACCCCGAGAATGAGCTGGAGCTCGTGATGAAGGTGGAGATGGAGAGGCCGGAGGAGGTGGCGAGGAGGTTGAAGGATTTGTGTCATCGGTGGAGGGAGAGGGTTAGGGAGGTTAAGACGAAGAGGGATAAGGTTATTGCGGCGTGGGGAAAGGATAACGTCGTGAGCAAGGACGTGAAGCATAAGTTGGGAACTGAGCTGATGGACTTGGTTAAGAAGGAGTTGGCTGATATTGATAGGCTGGAGGCTCAGGCTATTGCTCAGGCTGGAAAGTCGGGCAAATAAGTGGCAGGCAGCAAACTTCGTTGGGTTGTCGATGTGTGCGACAAGGAGAATATGACTGTATTTTTTTTGAAATGCAATACCACCTCTATGTATACTGGAAAAGAAACGATGTACAAATAGTTGATGCAGAAGAGCTCTTTCTTGATTGAATATATAACATAATTGTACATGCCAAAAAAAGCTGTATAGCCTCATATAGATTCCCATCTATCCATCTCCTCCACCCCCTACTAGTATACAAGCTTCACGACACCCCACACCTCCTTACGCAGCCTTCGGCTTAGGGGTCTTCGACGCCTTGCCCTTCGCCTCCTGCGGCTTAGCCTTCACATCCTTCTTCTTAGCCCTCGTCTTAGCCTTCGACACTAGCTCGACTAGCTTCGCCTCGAACGCCTTGGTCTGCCTCGTCTGGTACGTCCCCTCCTTGAGATGGAAATTCTTCGCAATCGCAACAGAATCGGTAATGGGTGCCGGGTTAATGGGTTCGTACTCTCCAAGGATCGTCTTCTTGACAATAGTCTCCTTGATAACGGCGTCAGGTCCAGGGATCTCGCCCTCGCACCTCTCCACCTTCTCCTCGATGGCCTTCTTCACGGCGAGGTCCGTGAAGAACATGGAGCCGTTGAGCTTGTAGTCGCGGTACATGTCCTCGGCGTTGATGACGGGGTTGGGATCGAGGTAATTTCCGGTGAGCACGCGCATGTTCGTCATGGCCGTCGCGAGGCGCCCCAGCGGGTTCGATTCCGTGGCTACCTCGGGCAGGAACGGCACGAGGGACTCGAGCGTCGTCGAGGGGTTGTACTGCGAGGGGAAGCCGACCTCGCGGCCGATTCTTGCCTGTCGCTCCTCTAGCGACTCGGCCTCTTCCTTGGCCTTGCCCCGTCTCCGGCTTGCGTAGTCCTCCTCGGTTTGTCGCTCGCCGCTATCAGTCTTCCGAGGTCGTCCGCCGCGGCCACCCCCTCCCTCCTGTCTTTCCCGGTTCCCTCGGAAACCACCGCCACGACCCCGGCCTCTGAAGCCACCGGCTCCTCCCCTAGGAGTAAAGCCCGGCCTTGGTCCAGCAGGCGCGCCGCCGTCCAGCTTCCCGGCTTGGTTATTATTATTCAACCTCATAAGATTGAGCGAAATCATTCCGTTGGCTCCTCCCCGACCGCGCGGCAGGCTCCGCAAGTTGATTATCTTTCTCGCAGGGTTGGGACCCGATCCCCCACCCGCCGCGGGACGGCCGCCCCTGCCGCCTCCGGGAGCAGCCTTGCCGGCCGACGACGCATTGAGAATGGCATTGACTTCTTTGGACGCTCGCTCCGATCGCTGCTGGAGGTTCGGTCGCGTGTTGGCGGGCTTGTCGGGCTTGCTGTCGCTCTTCTCGCCGGACGAGAAGAATTGTGTCGTCGTGAAGGATCGCGTGGATTCCTTGGCTCGGAGAAAGTCTGACCTCCCCAGGCCGCAGGCCGGACGAAGTAGATTCCGACGCATGGCTGTTTTCTGGCAGGGGAAATCTGGAGGAACGGTTGAGGTGTTCCTTGAATTGCTGGAGAGATTTGGATGGTCATGCTATGTCGCTGGGAGCTCGGGATGAAATTTTGGCTCTGGGGTCTGCTTATGTAATGTTGAATATGCGGCCCCGATTGGCCAATTGCGCTTGTACGGAGTACATCGAACTTGAAGCCCCATCAAAATATCAAAATCATTTGTATTGATGTCCAGAACTTCTTCATCCTTCGAGCATAAAATCGGCATGTGGTAGCAAAGAAGAGATTCTATTTGAGCTTATCTCGGATCATCCTTCCCAGATCGCGAGTCCTTTTTAATAAACGAGATTTGTGTCCTAATAACGTCTTATCGTGCCCTTTCTCCCTACCACTCACAAATTTGATAGTGCCCAGACCTAATTACCATAATTCCCTTATTCCTCAGTTCAGTTTACCACACCATTGACTACTTCCCTACTTCCTGTAAATCTAAGTCTGCAAAGGCTTTCCCATCCCACCGAGGGTAATAGTCTTGATGACTTGGAACTCCTCAATGCCGTAAAGTGATCCTTCCCGACCGAATCCGGATTCCTTAACACCACCGAACGGAGACACCGTGTCGGAGATCAGACCGGTATTGACACCAATCATGCCGACCTCGAGGTGTTCGGCAACCCGATAAATTCTCGCCGGGTCTCTCGAGAAGAGGTAAGCCGCAAGACCAACATTAGTATTGTTCGCCAGCTTCACAACCTCAGCCTCGGACTTGAAAGGGAAGAGACCAGCGACAGGGCCAAACGTCTCCTCAGACGCAAGTTGCATGTCGGGCGTCATGCCCGTCAGCACCGTCGGCTCGAAGAAGTTCTCGCCAAGCTGGGGGAGATGGTTCCCGCCGACGGCCAATGAGGCGCCCTTCGCTACGGCGTCCTTGACATGCTCGTGGACTTTGGAAACGGCGCGGTCGTGGATGAGCGGGCCGTGGGTGACTCCTTCTCCGAAGCCGTTGCCAACCTTGAACTTCCCGACCTCCGCGGCGAACTTCTCGGCGAACTCGTCGTAGATGCCGCTCTGCACGTAGATACGGTTGGCGCAGACGCAGGTCTGGCCGGAGGAGCGGAACTTGGAAACGACGGCACCAGCCACAGCGACGTCGATGTCGGCGTCGTCGAAGACAATGAAGGGAGCGTTACCGCCGAGCTCGAACGAGAGCTTCTTTAGGGTTCCTGAGGCTTGCTTCATGAGGAGCTTGCCGACGTTGGTCGATCCGGTGAAGGAGAGCTTCTTGATGACTGGCGACGTAGCGATGTGCTCACCGACCTTGGGAGTGTTGAGGTGGGATGTGACAATGTTCACGACACCCTTGGGGATGCCCGCTCGGTGAGCTAGCTCGGCGAGGGCGAGGGCAGTGTAGGGAGTCTCGCCGGGGCTCTTGCAGACAACTGTGCAACCAGCGGCCAGCGCGGGGCCAATTTTGCGTGTAATCATAGCAGCAGGGAAGTTCCATCTTTTCCCCCCGTTCTATTAGTTGGGAGCTCTTTGGCGACGATGGGGGTTGGACACTTACGGCGTAATCAAGCCGCAAACACCGACGGGCTCCTTGATAGTAAACACCCTGTTGGCGGGCACGGTGGCAGGGATCGTCTCGCCATAGGCTCGCGGCGCCTCCTCGCTAAACCACTCCAGGAAGTTGGCCGCGTAGATAACCTCGCCCTTAGCATCGGCCACGGGCTTACCGTTCTCCCAAGTGATCAAGGTCGTGAGGTCTTCAACGTTCTCAACCATGAGGTCGTACCACTTTCGGAGGAGCTTGGCGATCTCGCGGCCCGTCTTAGCTTTGAATTCGGGAAGCGCAGCCTCGGCGGCCTTGATGGCGGCCTCGGTATCTTCGACATCGCATTCAGGGGCAGTTCCAATTAACTCGTTGGTGGCGGGGTCTGCGATGCATCCATTAGAATGACCAAAGCTACGAAAGTGAATTTCCGGTCATGTCTTCCTAACCTCTAACTTCAAAAGTCTTGCCAGACTTTGCTCCGACCCACTCGCCATTGATGTACACGACATCCTGCTTGAGCAGAGAGGGGTCCTTGAGCTGGATTGCGGGGGGAAGCTCGATCGCGAGCTCTCTCGGGTTAGCAATGCCGAGGATAGACGAGCTTGCGCCCGCGGGAATTGGGAGAGGAGTCGGCTCAAACCACGCACCTTGGGAACCATATTGGAAGCGAGTCTCACGAAGCTGTAGGAAATTGGAGCCGTAAAGCAATGGGTGAATTGAGGAGGCAAAGTGCGTCTCGACGAGCGCGCAGCGAGGAGGGCACGAGGTAGGGCTACTTTATGTAGTAACGCAACCATGATGTAGTGTTAGTTGCTCAGTTTTTATTAAGGCGATGCCTGGCCACGCGAGAATGGGCACCAATTGATCAAATGGCAAGTTTGACTCCTGTTTGACTCCAGCAACTATGGGCCTATAAGACTCTTTCAAGTTCGGATTCCCCTCCAACGACTAGCTCAGAATAGCTCTGGTAGCCGATAAGGGCGGGGAAATTCTAGACTCAGGAGGTTGCATGCACGAAGAGGATTGGGAAGGTTAATGGACTAGCTCGGGGCGATTGCATATCTCGATGTCAGCTGCTCCAGTTTTGGAGGAGTCTGTGACCGACGATTTCGGAGCTGCTGGGGTGCCTTTGGGGGTGTTGTTGGGGGCTTCCGGCTACGGGCGTTCGGTCTCGGTTGAAACAGAAAGATGCCGGCTCAACCTATGACGATCGGTTGGCGCCGTGATAGGGTCATTTCAGGGTCATGATTGTGGAGGTGGTGGAGGTGGCAGCGGGGTACTTCGTACACAGGTAAGAATCAAGACATTGCGCAGGACCAAGTAGAGCCACAGCTCAATTACGTGCACTTTGACTCTTACCCAAACTGACCCCAGCGCTCAACCTGTCGAAGGATTCGTCGAGGGGCCGATTCGGTGCTGTTAGCGTTGGATCCTTCACTTGATGAACGATTATATCCCCATGCAGTTAGTCAACGCCTACTCTCGGCCGACCATGATGGACGGTCGGTAATGGCGACGGGATGTACCCGAGGAGTATCCTAGGTCATTGTCAAAGCGGAATAATTGCCAAAGAGGCAAACATGATTCCAATATTGAGTATTTTTCAACGGAATATTGCACACTATGTTGAAACAGTCACATTATCAAATAACGTTTCCAAGCGTCGGCAAACTAGCTGCTGTCCTTGCTCTGAGTCTATACTTGGGTGCTAATGGCAGGTTTGTTGACCCCGATCTTCAAACTCTCGACAGTTATGCACCCAGATATTCGATTGGAGCTTGAACATCTGTTGATATGTTAGCAATGAAGGGATCTTGGAAGCACTGAATAGAGGCGGAGGACTCGGTTTGCAGTTCAGCCACGACCCATCATCATCCCAATCCCAGAAAATAGTAAGAGTAACTTTAAAAAGATCGTACAAATAAAAATAAAATTAAAATAAGAAAGCGAAACGAATAGACATGTAAATTAAGGCAAATTTAAAAGAAAGACAAAATGTCAAGGGAGCGAGGCAAAAAAGCAAAAAGCTCGCTAGCGGTTCGCTCCCAGGATCGAATTCCGGTTGCTTGCCGTGAGCTACGAAAATTGCAATTCTCTAACCTTCTGAGCGCTCCAATGACCACTTGGACACTGGTCGGAGTGTTGCCACTGCTTGAGCTGCTCGGTTGGAAGTTGTTCCCGAATCCTGATATATAAAGTGTGGAATGGCTGGTTGCGGCGGGTCTGAGGAGGAAGGAACTGCCAAGTTTGCTCCTTCCACGATAGCAGGCGACCTCTGCTTCACTGCTTACAATCTGGAGACTAGGCCAAGTTCTAAGACATTCGGTATCCCCCTTAAGCGCCCCTGCTATCGAGGCGGGACGTCCCCGGTGCAATGAAGGAGTGAAATCGAGTCATCAATTCGGTTGTCAGTATCCTACAGACCCGAGAACCAACGTAGTAGTATCTTAAGAACCCCCAAACTCCATTACACCATTACACCAATGCCTCCCAGCCCAAGACAAATAGGAGAGGCTCCGTCTTGTGTCAGACGGATGATAGCTACATAATCCCAAGAGGACGAGCCATGGCAATATACGTTTCGAATATGTACGTTATTCAAACAAAGGAAAGATGAGGTGTCCCTCCATGTCCTTCCGTTCGTTCACGCATACCTAGTCGGGGTTTTCCGATCTAGGGTGCGGAAGGCCATGGTTCGCGGCGTATACGGCACTCCGGGTGTGTACGGCACTCCAGGTGTCGTAGGCGACCTCATACCCTTCATTTCGACGTTGCTGCTCTTGACGATAGAATCGTTGTCATCCTCCGCTTCCTCGACCCTATCCAACTCGTTCGGAAGCATAGAGTAGATGGCGAGCCCAAGATTCACGAGGTAGATGCAGCTGGAATTAGATGTTAGTCGGAGCTCCCTATCCTCGGAAGTCGGGAGTGGGAAGACTGCAAGGGCCACTTACAGCATGTACACGGTAACGAAGAGCGTTCCCTTTGCAATCTTGCAAAGACGAACGGCGTTGTAAGGTTCGGCGATACTGCAGTCCTTCCGGATATACCAAGCGACTGGACTAGGATATCTCGGATCGGCGTAGTCGGGTCCAATCTGACCGTAGACACTGGTCGTCCAGAGAGCGACGGTGGCAATGTTCATGAGGAGGGCGATGAGGGGATACCAGACTTTCATGATCCATGCGACAAGCTTAGTCAAGAGGAAGAAGAGAGCCATGACGGATATGGCGACATTGAAGTCTGTTAGACTGTTGATTCACACAGGTTAGAATCCCCTCGTGAAAAAATCCCCAGGAAAGGAGGTAGCGTATTGACCCTCGGGGTTTTACTCACGTTTGAGACCACACGAAGGGAATCGTGGGAAGCGGCCTGTGATTCGCATAGGCGTAGAGGACCATGTTCGGGTTCGAGTTGAGCTTATTGTCGAAACCGATTTGCCAAAACTTGGTACGATAGAGATCCGGCTGCTCGATACCGAAGAGGACGAGGATGGGAACAAGGCCGATAAGCTCGAATAGCATCGCCCACCACATGGGCTTTCGAACCCTCCATTTCCTGTGAAAGACGTGATAGGCCATTTTTGTGTGGTGTGAGGCGCAGAACTTCCTTAGTTCGAGATGCTGGTCGGTCTTGGGGTCGCGAGCGACAGGTCGCTAAGGATTTCAGTTCGATGTGTCGTCGGTCGGGCTGTTGGAAAACGGCTTCTACTCGCGAGACGATGCTCTCTCCCGATGTTTTAATGGCGACGACTCATGGGGACTAAGTCTCTTGGGGTAAAGACACCCTCAACATCGAAGGCGTCGAATTATTTTTGATTTGCTGATCAGCCAAAAGAATGAAGAGCCGTTATAGAATCCAAGGAAAAATCACAAAATGCGGCGGTCATGGGCTGGTTTGTATTAAATGGAAGGATGCGGACATGGGGGGGATAGGATCTCTTCACTCCGGTCCACCCCCTCACATACCGCCCCTCCCACTTCTATGCCCATGCCGTTTTTTTTACGCAGCCGGAAATGCGGACTACGAAGTAGGGATTGAAGAGTACATGCTACCGCCAGTACTTTCGTAAGGTAAGCTGAGGGCGCGAGAAACAAGGGAAACGAAGGTGACGATGAATGTGTGTGTGCTGCGAAATGCAGAAGCGGCAGGGAGTTGGCCCAATCAGGACCAGAGACGGCAGGGACTCTAAGCGCCCGGAGCTTCGAGACGCGGGTGATTGGCCGCCATGCGGGCCATCAACGAGATCAAAAGGTGTGGGACGGCCAATGAGGTTGGACGTTGCTTTGACGAGTCCCTGTCTTCCCTTGCATCTTCGGGGAGTGAGCGACGGGCCGTGGGATTGGCTGGGTTCTTTTCTGTGATGGTGTGGTGGTTGGTGGCGTTCAATGTTGCTTTCGCATTTTGGTAGGTTTGGGGGCCGGGGGCTGCTTCTGTGCTCTCCGTCTTGCTTGGCTGGAACTTATTCTGCAAAGCTCCACGCTGCACGCACTCATACGAGGATAAGTAGTGTACTTCGTACTTTGTGCGAGAAAGTTGATAGGATTCGTTCCTTGATTTAACCTCGAGGCTGTATCAAGCTTCTAGTTCGTACTTCGTACTTTCTACAGCGGGATGTTGTCGTGGTGGTCAGCAGTAGCAGTGCCATGGGATGGATACTACGGAGTGATCCTCCCAGCGTCTCCGAACTCCAGTTTCGGCTGATCCATGCCGTATCCAGGCGGTTACTGCCCATCACTTCGTGCCATGTCGGAAAGGAATGATCTGATCGAGGGCGTCTACAGAAACAGTGATTGATGCATCCACTTTGAGCATACCCTCAAACAAGAACCACTGACCGTTGGGTGGTCCTCTGCGAGTCTGCGAGGAGCTTTTCCGGTGTCACAGCCAAGACGGATGATCAGTTCCCCACTCTTTACCTCTCTACGACACGACCAACCTCTCCTGCTTATTGTCGTTTTCGAAGTCAAGCGTCAATCCCATTCTCTGGCCCCCAAATCCTTTGTTTGTATGTCCCCAGTTGCGGACTTTCTTCGGAATTGAACTTGACGAGTTTAGATTTCAGAGAGAGCGTGAAGATGGAACTTCTTACGAAGTACGTCGGAGGTGAGAATGAATCTCGATTTCAACCAAGAATGGAATTGATATCCAAGAACCCCTTCTTGGTTTGATTTCGGTACCAGCTCAACTGAGGTATAGGATATGCGTTTACTTACGCAGTAGAATCTCTGAGATCATTAAGGGGGACATCCTGTGGACTCAGAACTTCCGAGAGAGAGCAAATGCGCCACAATTTATGTCACTGGCGATGCAGAATTAATTGAAAATGCCCATTGAAGAATGCGAGTCGACCAGGTTTGCCAGAACATGGCTGGTGACAAGTGGCAGACGGCTGGCTTAGAAATTCATCCGGCAGGTGCCGCCCGAAAGGAATTGTTAGCACGATCGAACTTGACCCTAACTGTGGAGCAGTCCATCGATCCGCCAATCAGTGAATTCAGCGGGGCCTGTGCTCCGGGAGTACGTACTGTGCAGTGCTCGGTACGTACATGCGCTGAGGGTCTAGAACTCGGTCCATGGACCTGCATCATGACCGACCATTCGATCTTCAACCTCAAAGCCCATTCAATTGCGACTCGCCGTGTTTTGCTCTCATTCACCTACTTTCGGCTCCCTGAGGTCTTGCGAAGGTTGCGCAAATCGAAGTTGGAGAGGTCCGCTTCGTATCTCGCCCTCGCAACCCCCTATATTCGAGGCTACTCGCCACAGTGACATCTGCCGGTCCTGTGGTCCTAGGCTCGAGGCTCCTACGTGTTTCTAGCCCCGCGAACTCTGTCCACAACTCAGGAGGAACTCCTCCGCTGGGGCACGCGCTCATCTTTGGGAAAGGAAGTCTATAGGCGCTCCCTTTTTACATAAATGCGCCCGATACATGCACAACATCTTGCTCTGGACCATGGATGTACATGTCGACCTTTCAAATGATTCCAGTATAGAGGATGAGGATGCTATGGAATGTGACAATGGCGGTCAGCCTAGACCCACGACGGACGCCAGACAACCTACTCCAAGCACTGGCAGGGGCGGCAAGTTTTCTGGCTTAGAGCTCGGCAGTGGAGAGGACGTCGTGGAACATGTATTACCCGATGAATGGTATCCCATTGTCTCCGCAAATGACCTTCCCAGCGATCTCCGGGAGGAATCCAAGATGCTGGAGCAGCTGTCAGCAGCCTCAGGCTTAGATGCGACATACGAGCGGTCAAAAACTGGATCGAAAAAGAAGCGGCTAGTCGGCGATACCTTAGATATTACCATGCGCCCCTCGCCCCTTAAGCGGAGCCGTCGTGATCTCCTCGACTTATCCGCTGATGTTGATGCGCTTTCGCCTCCTCTACCGCCCTCGTCGCCTTGGCCCTGGGACCAGACGCATCCAAGGCTGACGCGAGATTCGAATCCTGAGCATGCGGCCGCTCAATCTTTGGTGGGCAGAGCCAAGACTGTGACTGACGGGCGGTCCAACATGGCCGACGACGTTACCGCGGTTCGGCTGCCCAAGGGGCTAATGCCTGTCAAGACCCCATCTCCTGGGCGATTTGGTGGTTTTTTGCCATTGGATGATAGCGGCCTGAGGACTCCCCCCAGCCGAGTGCTTCAGGATATCGGTATCATAGAATTGCTGGATAGGGATAGTAGGCCAACTTTCATCGTCGATTTGTCGACATCTACCTGCAAGCCTGAGGGCAAGGTTTCAATTCCATACGCAAACGAGTCATCTAGGGCACATCCTACGATACGGAATCTCCTGGCCACCTTGGATGATGAGGGCGAGGACGCAAATATCGAGATATCTCATTTCAAAGAGTGGGTTCTCGGCGTAGGCGATAACTCGCCGTCTTCTGAGGCCCACCGCATCAACGGGTATGCGGGAGTTATTTGGTCCTATGTGACGTTGCGGAATCGTTTCCGGGTCGTCAGTGGAAGCAGTACACTACTATCTACCATGTCGACAAATGGCCCCAGTGCAGTCTTTTCTACAAATGGCGAATTGGTGGACGGACTTGACGAACCAGCAGCCATGGAAAGATCAGCTACGCACTCAGAGTCTGAAATCAGTATGCTAGAACCTGCGTTGTCTAAGGGTACGCCTATTGCCGGAGTCCCCTCACTACCCTCAAGCAAGGTATCATTTGACTGGACCCGGATCCCATTGACGGATGATGTCTCCGAGCATATACGATTCGCTCGATCGATCGACTGGGCGTCAACACCTTTGGGACCAATCGAGTCCTGGCCTCTCAACCTTAGAGTCATGGCCAACTTGATCATGGCGAGCCCTCACCCCGCGGCGATATACTGGGGCCCAGAAAATGCCATCATCTACAACGAAGCCTACATTGAGATTGCAGGTCAGAAGCACCCTCGCCTTATGGGAAGACCCTGCGACCACGCTTGGACATCCACCTGGGACCAGCTGGATCCCGTCTTTCGCGAAGCACGAGAGTCGGGACAAGCGGTCATGAAGTATGACGACCATATCTTCGTTGACCGCCAGGGCTTCATTGAGGAGGTATACTTCACATGGTCGATGGTGCCAGTACTTGACGACGAGGGCGAAGTCGTCGGAGTGTATAACCCAGCCTTTGAAAACACACGGCGGAGGATAGGTGAGCGGCGAATGCTCACTCTGAGGCGAATAGGCGAACGGATAGCGACTACGACCGAAGTCGGAAGCTTCTGGACCCAAGTTCTGAAAGGCTTGGGATCGAACGCGTATGATATTCCGTTTGCCTTGATCTATTCGGCAAAAGACGCCGCCGACAGCGATTCATCCTTCGCCATACACGAGAACGGCTGGAAGCCGTCTCAGCTCGTCCTCGAGGGTTCTTTGGGATTCCCTGCGAATCATCCTGCAGCAGTTCAGCAACTTGACTTGGACAGCTCGGATGAAGGCCTCGCTCCACAGTTGCGTGATGCTCTTGAGGCGGCAGAGTCGCCCCTCATGCTCTCTGTCAAAGAAGGGACCCTACCCTCGTCGCTGCTTGAAGGTATCGAACCCCGCGGCTTCAAAGTACCTTGTCAAAAGGCCCTTATCCTGCGATTGCGCGCTAGCCCATCGGAGTCCGATGCTGTAGCCGCTTTTGTTGTCCTGGGCCTGAATCCTAGACGCCCGTACGATGACGATTTCCGCCTGTTCATCAATCTTCTTGGTCGCCAGTTGGAGATCTCGATAACGTCGCTCACGCTGCTCGAGGAGGAGGTACGGCGCGGCAGGACGGCGGCAATGATTGCGGCGCAGGATAAACTGAAACTATCCAAGCAGCTCATCCAGCGCACGCAGGAAGCCGTCGAGAGCGAATACAGATTCACCCGGATGGCCGAGTTTGCTCCCGTAGGGATGTTCATTGCCGACCCGACGGGCTTCATTAATTATTGCAACGACATGTGGTGGGAAATCTCGCGCCATCCCCGCGGGGACAACAGCGTAAATACTTGGATGGAGAGCGTCATGGAGGAGGATAGACCGGAAGTGCAAAAGGTATGGAAGAAGCTCACGGAAGAGAAGATTGCCATCACCCACGAGTTCCGCTTTAGCCATACTCGGCAAAACGCGGACCAGGTCATGGAGACGTGGGTGCTCATGAGCGCCTACCCTGAAAAGGACGCCAACGGACACGTCAAGTCCATATTCGGCTGCCTAACGGACATCTCGACGCAGAAATGGGCCGAATATTCGCAGAAGCAGCGGCGCGAGGAAGCCGTAGAACTCAAGCGCCAGCAAGAGAACTTCATCGACATAACGAGTCACGAGATGCGAAACCCGCTGAGCGCCATCTTGCAGTGCGCTGACGAGGTGTACAACAGCATCGGGGAGTTCCGGGCGGGCAGGGGCGAGTACCGGGACTTGAAGTCGCTGCTGGACTGCTGCGCCGACGCGGCCAACACGATCAGCTTCTGCGCGAGCCACCAGAAGCGCATCGTCGACGACATCCTGACGCTGTCGAAGCTGGACTCGCAGCTTCTCATGGTCACGCCGGTATCCGTGCAGCCGGTAGCCGTGGTAGAGAGGGTGCTCAAGATGTTCGAGACGGAGCTCGCTAGCCGCGACATTCTGTTGGAGTTCCGTGTCGAGCAGCCCTACCGTGACTACGGCATCGATTGGGTGCGCATAGACCCTTCGAGGCTCCGGCAGGTCGTCATCAACCTCATGACCAACGCTATCAAGTTCACGCAGAACAGAGAGCAGAGGGTCATCGTCGTGAGCGTCAGCGCGTCGAAGCAGGCTGGCGAGAACGGCGAGTCCGATGTCACGTACTTCCCTAGCCAGCGGGAGAATACGGACATCACCAAGGATGAGGAGTGGGGTAGCGGCGAAGAGGTCAATCTCCACTTCTCCGTCCAAGATACGGGGCCGGGCCTCACAGGGGCTGAAATCAAGGTCCTCTTCCAACGCTTCTCGCAAGCTTCGCCCCGTACGCACGTCCAATACGGCGGGTCTGGGCTCGGCCTCTTCATCTCCCGCATACTCACCGAGCTCCAGGGTGGCCAGATCGGCGTCAGTTCTACCAAGGGAACGGGCAGCACCTTCACCTTCTACATCAAGAGCCGCAAGACAGATCCGCCACCCCACGACGAAATACAGCACGGGGAGAATATGCAGGCCACCGTCGCAGCCGCCCCCTCATCCGTTGGCTCCCCTGGACTCTCGAACGATAATACTAGCAATAATAACAATAATAATCTCCCCGGCCTTCCCGAGGACTCCCTCCGCAAGATGGACGTCCTCATCGTCGAGGACAATATCGTCAACCAAAAGGTCCTGCAGAGACAGCTCCGCAGCTACAGGTGCGACACCTTCGTGGCGAACCACGGCGGCGAGGCCCTCGAGAAGATCAGAAACTCGCGCTTCTGGAAAGGGAAAGGCCCCGACGGCGGCAACATCTCCGTCATACTCATGGACCTGGAGATGCCCGTCATGGACGGCATGACGTGCGCCAAGCGCATCAGGGAGCTGCAGAGGGATGGAACGATTACGGCGCATATTCCTATTATTGCTGTTACGGCTTATGCGAGGCCGCAGCAGATTGAGAGTGCGAAGTCTGCCGGTGTGGTAAGTTTACACGAGCTGACTCCTTCTTTGCCCCTTTCTCTCTATTCTTCGGTGTGTGCGGGCGGTTTTGCTGACCTTTTCATGATGGGAATAGGACGACGTTATATCGAAGCCTTTCCGCCTCCTTGAGCTGATTCCCAAGATTCGTGAGCTTGCAGAAAGATACGGCACTCTCCCCCCATCGTCACACAAGTAAACGGCCAGAACAGCAAAATCCTCCTTCATCGACAAGAAAAATCCCGTTCCATTCCTCTCTACTAGGCTCGGTCACTACTACAGGCTCATGTCATCGTGGACCGGCTTAAAAGCACTCAATACGCATCTTCAAAAGTCCTCTTCTTTCTATTACCCATTCCACTCCGCCAAAGAATTAATGTACTACTGCTTCTACTGCGCCGGCCGTTATATCAAGGGTTTTCTCGGATATGGCGTTTCTTTTGGGGATTTAACGGAGTCATCTCTCTGATATTAGGGGCAGGGGAGAACTTCGGTTTTTATGGTGCTGGGGCGTCACCGTGGTTATGATTTAGCTTAGCATCCTAATACGAATCGCATGGCGTCTAAATAAAGAGTATCTATCTATCCCCCTCGAAAAAATAGGCCAGCTCAGTGTCTTGACATAAGCCCTTGCGATAGGGGATGCTGTACTGGAAGCTTCGCCATACATACTCAATGCTGTACATCAGAAAGCAGTGACTACCGAAAACACAATGTATTAAGGCGCCTGGACAGGCTAGGCCTATAGGCTCAGGATGGAATAGAGAAGCATGAAAAGGTGCCTCTTGCGCTTCATCCCCTCTTATAACCCCCCCCGTATCTAAAACATCTCAACCACAGGCGAAAAACAAAGGCAAATCAAAGCTACAAGAGAAGATCAATAGAAAGCGGTGGGGATCACTTGAACCCACTCGAGAAAGTTTCTCCTTTCCTCAGCGACCATATGTGTATTTGTTTTTTTAGGGGTTTTGCAAGAGACATCTTCGCAGAAACTTCGCACAACCAATTTTTTTTTAGTCTTTGTATCTTGTTTTCTGTTTTCCCTTCCTCGTATCCTTTCTCCTCCGAGTTATTATTCGCATTTCTGACTATGCGGCGGGTATACTGGGTATCAAAGCAGGTTTACGAACAGGATGAACGGGATTTGAAGAAAAGAAAAGCAGCAATTGCGACAGTGGTATAAAGATGTAAGGAAACTAGAGAGTATTGGTATTAAAACGGGGAGAGAGAAACAAGGAAAACCCGACTCAAAGACCTGAATGTCATCGACAGACAAGAGAAGAAAAGACAAGGTGTAGAGGCAACACGCTGTCAGTCCTTAGCTTCTGCAAGGTATCGCCGACAATCCACATGCGTCACCGTAAAACAAATTTCGACGGGGTATCTTGAAATGCAGACCCGATTCCCGACCGTTCAAAAGCAAAACGTCTGTCTCATAGGGCCATGGGGCTGAGTCACAGCCACCAACCCTTGCGCCTGCTCGCATTGAACTTCCCTGCCAGCAGACGGTAGCCTTAGAAGCGACCGGGCATCTAGGCGGCAGCAGTGACGGTGGCACCGGCGGCGGGGGCAGCAGCCTCAGGCTTGTTCTCGGTCTCCTCCTCAGCGGCCTTAACGGGAGCGGCAGCCTCCTCGGCGGGCTTATCCTCGGCCTTAGCCTCAGCAGGCTTATCGTCGGTCTTCTCGGCAGCCTTCTCCTCAGCCTTCTCACCGGAAGTGGGCTTGATGCGCTGTGAAATTGTTAGCACGCTGTTTCATTAAACAGATCACATGAGGCTCTTAACATACCTTGATGGTGGCTCGGAACCTGGAGAAGGGGCTAGGGGACTTGGGCTTCTCAGCCTTGGCCTCAGCCTTAGACTCGCCGTTGGTAGCAGGAGCCTCCTCGGTAGTGGCCTCAGCGGCGGGGGCTTCCTCAGCAGCGAGAGGGGTGGAGGTCTCTACGGGAGGGATAACGGGAGCAGCCTCAGTGGCGGAAGCTTCACCGTCCTTGGCGGCATCCTTGGCCTCCTCGGCGGGCTTCTTGTCCTTCTTGGGGATGAGACCGAAGAAGCTGTTGCGCTTGACGCTGCCATGCTTCTCCTTGGGGGTCTCCTTGGGGGCCTCCTTGGCGGGCTCGGCCTCCTCGGCAGCAGGAGCCTCGGTAGCCTCAGCAGGAGCCTCAGCGGGAGCGGCCTCAGCAGCCTCGGCAGGCTTAGTCTCTTCCTTCTTGCCCTCCTTCTTCTCCTTCTTGCCGAAGAAGTCAAGGACGGAGGTTCGCTTGCGGCTGGCAGAGCGACGCTTGGGCTCCTCCTCCTCCTTGGGAGCCTCTTCGGCAGGCTTAGCCTCCTCGGCGGCAGGCTCCTCCTTGGCTCCCTCAGCGGGAGTCTCCTCAGCGGCGGCAGCCTCAGCGGGCTTGGCCTCCTCGGCAGGGGCAGCAGCCTCCTCAGCAGCTTCCTCCTTCTTCTCATCCTTCTTCACGGTGGGCTTGTAGATCTCATAAGCAGCCTTGTAGGCCTCGGTCTCCTTGATGGAGGCGGCGATCTCCTTGGCGTCATTGATCTTGGCCTTGATCTGGGAGATCCAGTTCTCAGCCTCAGCCTTGGTGGCGGCCTTGAAAGAGTGCTTCTGTCCGTTGGCGTTGAAGTGGAACTTGGTGGCGCCATCAGTCTGGGGCTCGGTAGCCTCGGCGAGGTTGATGATTCCGGTGGGAGTGCTCTTGTCGCCGAAGAAGAGAAGACCCTTACCGGTGTGCTGGGCCCAGGAGGCATTGTGCCAGGCGACGAGAGCAGCCTTCTCGTGCTTCAGATAGCTGGTAAGGCTCTTGGCTTCGACGGCATCGGAGCCGAACCAGAAAGGCTGCTTCGAGTAGTAGAGGTTCTTGGGGAAGTTCGCACCAGCACCCTTGTGGTCGAGAGTGCCCTCCTCGATGGGAACGACCTCCTCCTTCTTGCCCTCGGCAGCGGGGGCGGCCTCAGCAGCAGTCTCGGTGGCGGCAGCAGCCTCGGTGGTCTCGGCAGGCTTGTCTTCGGCGGGCTTGTCCTCGGCAGCAGGAGCTTCGGCAGGCTTAGTCTCAGCAGGGGTCTCGGCAACGGGAGCGTCCTTGGGGACCTCAACGGGCTTCTGTTCGTCGGCCATTGTTGATGATTATGGGTTTGTTTTGAAGGGGTATCTGGGGTATGTTTTTGGGGGGGGGGTATTGGGTATCTCTGAAAAGAAAGGGTATTGTTGTTAAATGCTCGAAAGCAGGGGTATCACAATAAAAGGAAAGAAGTTTATTACAACAGGAAAGGGATGGGTATTATCCGTCACGACTTTCAGCGGACGTCCAGAAGGAGTACGAAATGGGAAAGGTTGTGGTGGTACACGGGGAAGGAAGAGGGAGAAGAGAGGAGGGAAGAAGAAATGAGAGAGCTCGCGGTACTTATTTGTTCTTGAAGCATAGGGCGTGTAATCAATGGAGAGGGGTGTGACTAGAGGCGAGGGAGGAAGGGAGCAGGTTCACTGTTCGTCGCCTGGTCTGGGCTGTGGGGCAATCACCACCCACTCCCCTTTTTTTGGAGACTTTCTGGCTTCAAGGGACAGAAAATGGGAAATGACATTAATACTTCAGGCACGCACACCACTAATTTCCAGCATGGGGGGGGGCTCCATCCGACCGAACCCGGCCCAGGAAGGGCACCCTATGTCTACACAGTACGGACAGGCTCTACAGGTAGGAAGTATAGGCGTAATGCGCATCCGTTCCAAGCTCCATTCCCGCCAACAAGAGTACCTACCTTCCTGTCCTCCCAGGTCGTACTTTCTGCATTTGCACTCCGTAGACTGGGTAACTGGGTAGTGGCAGTCAGGGACACGGCGGCGGCGCCTACCTTCGAAGATATTCACTGGATGGCAATCCGTCGATCTTAGGCTTGGGCGTATGGTAGTACGTCGCACTCGACCCTCTGTCCCCTTCCCCTGGCAGTTCAACTGGCAACCAACCCCATGATAATACTAGATTTGGCCCATCTACGAAGTAAACTTCATGGTGGCTACCTAGAACCACACCGTAATGCCCCAGATTTACACAGGTCGTCCTGCTTCTTGCTTCGTAATCGCCGGTGACGTTTTCGAAGCTTTTGGTTGTTCTATTGGCGGTTTTGTCCTGCGAAAAGCCACTCCACAATCTCGGTATCTCGTCCTCAATAGCTTGGACCCGTCTTGACTCAAATGAGAGACTCCCATCACTGTCTTGAATACTTTGACTGATCTGAGACGGGTTATGCCTGCAAGACGTTAGCATCGATAGTAAAGCGACGCCCCTCGCTTGCTCTCCTAGAAAACTACATAAGAACGGATCGGAATTTGACAAGGAGACCTTTGACCACTGTGACCATGACGTTAGAATGGGCACAGTTCGAATGATGCATAATTCCAGGACGTGCATTAGTCTGTGGGGCCAGACTTGGATGATGGCTCGACGACGCCCTGCACTTTTATCTGAACGACATCCACTCCGTATTATTGTCTTGTCCGGCTAGTGAAGGGGTTCTGTCAATGCTGTCCTCTAGCGTGCTGCTAGTTTGCACCCCAAGTAATATGATCTTCACCACGCTATGTTCTCAACGCGCCGCCAGCTCCACAAAACAGATGGAGATACTGGTATTACAGAAGGCAATATCCATTGACCGCCACGTTGTGACACGAAAATCCAGAGAGCTGTTCTCGGCGACCCAGAATCGGCCTAGAGCTGTAAACAATTGGGCCAAACTTGTCTGTGATCACAAGGTTTCAGCCTGGCTAAGCTTCACCGGAGACAAACGTCTCGAGGCACCATCAATGACTGATACCTCAGAGCCCATAGAAGCTGCCAGTCTGACTCATCTTGGCCAACATCGTCCCTCTCTGTGAGTGGACAGGGACGAAGACAGCACAGGTTGTTCGTGTCGCAATAGGATGCAGGATGGAATAACGGTCGGCATGTAGCGTCTGAGACAGGTAAAACCCGGGTGCGAAATTGTTACATCGTCTCGAGTCGCGTCCCCGGAAAAAAAAAAAAAAAAAAAAAAAAAAAAAAAAAATACACGAACGCCACTCTGCACTTGTGCACGATAATCCAGGCCGCGACCTGCCGTCGGAAATGCACAAAAGCCCTTTGCTCGCTGCATTAAGCGAACGGGTTAAAATTGCGACGTCCAGAGGAGCAAGGAATAACATCAAAATATTTACACACAGTACAGAAAGTTATTTCATAATGATGCCAACCAGCACTGAGTCCTTCAAAGTTGTCTACTTGGTGCAGTAGTGGAGAGGGTTTGGTCTCAAAGTGATGGAGTAGGGCTGGATGATGGGACCCCAACAGATGGATCTTGATGGAGATATCTCAGTTTCTTGAAGTCTCTCATCCACTCGCCTTTCCCCCTCCGTCTCCAGGCACGAGCATCCATGCTGATGCGTGTGTCCAATCTACTGAATGGCAAATCACAAATAGATTAGATCCGCCACGACCACTAAAACACACGAAACGGAGCACAAGCCCGGGTTTTGTCTGTCTCCAAGAAACAGTGAATCCTCAGACCACCTCCCAATAGCCACAGCGCGGGATCAACTCTGGTGTTGGCCACCCGTCCTTGTACGCCGCTCTCTATTTATGCTGTCACTCCGTAAACTCCTCTCACTTCTTGTACGATCCGAAAATAGCCTGCTTCCCCCCCAACTTGTCTCAGTAATGCACACCACAGAACAGGGGAACAAAAAGATCACGATCGGAAATGCTCTCCTGGACCTGCAAAAGGGTCGAGGTCCTTGCATACCCTGTGCCGTACAGTGCAGATATTGAACGCCACTACGAATATACTGTACATGTATCAGCATGACCGGCCAAGTACTTCGTTCGTACTGGTCCTGTCAATGCCCGTCCAACAGGCTACGTCCTCCGTGCTTCGTAGGGCACTTTAAGGATTGCTACCCTCCAAATTAGACCAATCTGCACTCAATTGGGAGCGGTCACGAACCTGGACCGTTTCAACACGTCCCCGGAGAGAGGCAAGTTACGAACTTGATAACAAAGTACGAAGTACATTGTCATCTGCGAGCCTCCAAACTAACCAATTGGCAACCATCAATCCTGCAGTCGATGGAAAGTGCAGTGACAGATTTGCCAAGGGACCAAAACCTCAAGACTTCGTAAATTATTCAAGGGTGTGTGTGTATGTACTTCGTATGAAAGAAACAAAAGCCCAACACTGTTGCTGCCGTGCTACTGCTAGGTACGCTGACCGCCCAATAAGACAGACCTTGGACAGAAAACAGACCGTGTCGAACCAGGGTCCCTTCCCCATGACCCTGGACACGCCATGTCCCAAACGGCAGACCTCATTTCTCAAAGACCCCAATCCAATATCGCTTTGCGCCGATACCCCTTGCTTCATTTGTTCTGTGCGCTTACGAAGTATGAAGTACTCTTAAGGAGTCCACATCCACAGCTTCGACCAAGGAAGTACTCCTCGGTGGCCCCTTTGTTCCCAGACGAAGGAGACCGTTCTTTTGGGCGATACCCGTGAGGCTCCGTCCTAGTTTACTTCGCAAGTACATTTCTTCTCATGACATCCTCATTCTTAAACCGAAGGATTTGAGGCACGTCATTCTTGTCACCTGTCTACTCTGACCTCTCCATACGGAGGCAAGTCTTGCCAGTGGAGGGCAAACTGTGCAACAAAACGGCACTTTGTTGCCACCACTTCTGCGTGTCTGTCCATGTTCAACCACCAGCCGCCTGAGACCAACTCCTGTGATATCAGCTCACCCCCCAGACCCTCGGTCTCAGTGGGACCAACTCTGAGGCTGGCCCTCTACCAACCACAACCGGTTCCCTCCGCCAACAACCTTTCCCCATACTTCATATGATGATGGTGTTAGTGCCCTCTGAGCGCATTTCCCCTTGAATATAAGGATAATCTGCATTGTATATTGCCTACGGAAAGCGGACGTTTACAAGTATTTGTGACCGAACCCACGCCAAAAGTTACCCGGATGGTCCTGCTACTTGTGTGCATCCCCCAATACATCCACGTAATACCAGGCCGTGATCACGGCAACTTCCTGGGCGTCGTGTTTGGTCTTGGCTATCTCGAAGTACCTCTCTTTGGCGACAACGAAAAGGCCGGTATTGACATGTGCTGTAACGCAACTGGAGTGATAGTGCGTCGTGCTCCGTAGCATTAGAGACTAGACTAGTGTACATTTATTTGCAGGGCGCCACGCTAACCCTACTCCATCAAAGTCTACTGGCAGCCACCACGCCGCGAAGTACTTCGCGGCGAAAATCAAGAGCCCAAGATACTTCCTGTTGGACCTGAGGCAGAACTGGCGCCATCTCGGTCTCGGGGTGCGGCAGCGGCGGACACCATGTGACTATCCTTGCCGGGCTGCACCATCTTCGCGAAACTTTAATGACCCGGATTCTTTGGACCCTCCTAAAACACGAAGCAAAGTTCACGGACTGCAAATTGTCCGGGTCGCCGAAACAAAGAATGGGAAATGCGGCCAGACCCCTCGTATGAATCAGAAAAAAAATAAAGAAGAGGAGTCTCGAAGGGGAGTCGTACCTGTAGATCTCGATGCCCAGGAATATACTTCGTACATACTACGGAGTAATTAAAAACTCGACAAGCTAATGTCCGGTGGGTGAGATTGGTCAATGCCACTTTGGTCGTTCGACGATGGGGACCATTGATCAAATATGGAGACCTGAGATTAAGAAGAAGGGGGACTGGACCCTGGTGAAAGTGGTCCTCTCCTGTTCGGTTTAGTGAGGATCCACAGAACCCCTACTGAAAGAACTGATCATCGAAATCCACCTGGTCGAGTTTAGCGTTTAATGTCCCGTTGCTAGGACATTCCACTTGCTAGGTCCAGTGGTTCTGGCCTGAACCTTGGATCGAAGAACGATTGTGCCTATCAACATTGGTCTTTGCAACTCGGTAAGCTGACAGGCCATCAACAGGGAAAGTAAACTTTTGGAATAGTGCCACCGACTGCGATCCGTGATCTGCGGACGGTTTCAAAGGGAGCATCAATTTTCTTTCTCGTACCTGGGGTAATGCGCCCGATCCAGTCAGTCCAAGCTCGCCGATACTTGGCACATCCTAGGCATA